GGTCCAGTTCCTGAATGAGCTGGTGGTTGCAGTCTGCCTCAGTACACAAGGTTTTGTAAGAAGGCTGAAGAAAAACCAGATTATGATCTGATATGCCAAGTGGTGGTAGAGCTGAAGCAGTGTAGGCCTCCATGACATTTGCATACAACAGATCCAGTGTCTTATTTTCCCTTGTGGGACAGTCAACATACTGAGTGAAGCCAGTCACTTGAGAGGTGAGTGTGACATGGTTAAAATCCCCTGATATTGCAATGAATGCATGAGGGTGCCTGGTTTGTACTCTCGCAACAGTCTTGTGAATGACGTCACATGCGACTGCAGGCTCCTCTCATGGTTGAATGTAAACAACAATGGCAACGATATGTGAGAACTCTGGACTAAGACCAACTACCAACAGTTCAATATCCCGACAGCAGATCTTCTCCTTCACTGTGTCACTATGTGACCGGGGTTGCACCATCTATTGTTCACAAGCAGAACCAGTCCTCCACCTTTATTCTCTCCACTTGCTATAGCATCTCTGTCCGCTCTTACTGCAGCCGGATAAATGCACACAACGGTAGGGAGTGTTGTCATTTAAACAGGTCTCCTAAAACTCATGAGACTACACTAACAATATGCTCTCTGGTTCTTCACAAGTTCCTCCAGTTCATCACACTTGTTAGCCAGCGAGTTGACATCTTCCTTTGTGTACATTAATTTCTCCATCTTCAGACTTCTTCTTATCGTGTCCACAAGACAGTCAGTTACAAGGCTTGGCTAGATGTGGTTCAGCCACAGCTGAACACATTTCTGTCCCTTCTCATTAAACTCTGCTAAGTCCGATGCTGTGCAGGGCTGTTCCAGCAGGGGGCATATCAGGAAGTGTTGCATGGTCTGTGGTTCAGTGCCACAGTCACACACGGCGTCCCCATTATTCAGATGTCCCCATTTGGCGAGAGTGGCTTTTGCACATCCGACACCAGATCTTAGTCTGTTTAAGCATTTCCACATTGCGTAGTTGGTATCCGCTCCGGGGGGCAGTGCCTCGCTCGCCTTTAGCTCCATTGTTGTTTCTGGTGGAAAGTTGTCAAGTCTTTCTTCCCACCGAGTGACTCTTTCACTGCTTGTACTCGGTGTTCCGAGGGGTGGGACACTTTTCAGGAAGCTTTTTCTGGACTTGAGGCGGCTTTTGGCTGGTACATGGCCGAAGAGAGGATGTCTTTGGTCAGTGGACTGTTGTTGCCGCTCTTTCTTGCTTGCTGCTTGTCGTCGTATCTCTGGTGGGGCTATTCCTGCCAGGATGTACAGGCGCTCTGTAGGTGTTGGTTTTAGGCAGCCAGTGATAAGACGGCAGCTAGCATTTAGGGCGGGGTCCAACTTCTTAGCATGGGCAGCTCGCTCCCATACTGGGCAAGCATACTCTGCAACTGAGTAGCAGAGAGCAAGTGCGGTTGTCTTAAGAGTCTGTGGATTAGCACCCCATGTTGTGCCAGTGAGCATGCGGATGAAGTTGTTCCTCGCACTCATTTTACTCTTAGTCTTCTCAATGTGGGTCTTTAAAGAGAGGCATCTATACAGGGTTACCCCTAGGTAGACTGGGTGCTCGCAGTGTTCAAGGGAGGTTCCTGACCAGCTGGCCTTCAGTTGGCGCTTAGCTTCACGATTTCGCAGGTGGAAGGCACACACCTGTGTCTTAGATGGGTTTGCACGTAGGTGGTTCTCTTCATAATAAGGTGTTAGCTCTGTCAGAGCGTTGGAGAGTCTGTCTTCCATGATTTTGAAGTCAGTGGCTTGTGCACCTATGCCAAGGTCGTCTGCATAGATGAAGCGACGGGTGTCTGCACTTTTTGGTTGGTCCTTGGTGTAGATGTTGAAGAGAAGTGGTGCAAGCACACTTCCCTGTGAGAGACCATTCTTGAGTCTTTGCCACCTGCTTTTCTTTCCTCCAAGTTCAACAAAGAAGTGCCTGTTTTCAAGCATGCTTTCAATCAGCTCTGTCAGACGGATGTCTCTTGTGGTCTCCAGGATCTTGCTGAGGAGACATCTGTGGTTGACTGTGTCATAAGCAGCTGAGAGGTCGACAAACACCACACCAGTTACCATCCCTTCCTCATAACCATCTTCGATGTATTGGGTGAGGTTGAGTACTTGGCTAGTTGTCGACTTGCCTGGGCGGAAACCTGCTTGTTCAGGGATGAGGTGTTCATCAACCAAGGTGCCAATTCTGTTGAGGATTAGACGTTCGAAGAGCTTTTAGGTGTGACTCAAAAGTGAGATTGGTCTGAAGTTCTTGGGAGTGGATGGATCTTTCCCAGGTTTCAGCAGTGCTATAATGTGGGCTTTTTCCAGATGTTCGGGAGCTTGTGTGTTGTTAGGCACTCATTGTAGAGCTGTAGGAGCCATGTCTTGGCCTTGTAACCGAAGTGCTTGATCTGTTCGGTTGCGATGTTATCCAGTCCAATTGCTTTTCCTGGTTTGAGGGTAGCGATTCCCCCTTCCAGCTCTTCCATGGTGAGCTGTCTTGTAAAAGCAGGGTCCTCGATGTTTTTCTCGCGGTTCAGCTTGATCTTTTTCACGCTCTTTCCACTCTTTCCATTTTCAAGCAATTGGTTGGCAACTTGGTTGGCAGTGACTTTTGGGTGCTGAGGAGCTGCTTTAGGGTCACCCCGTAGCTTGTGAATAAGTGTCCATGCTTTCTTGCTGTTTTTTGACATGTCTGTGGACTCAATAAGAGTGTTCCAGGTCTTGCTTCGCTCTTGGGCAATACTTTTCATCACCTTCTCGCCCTGGGCGGTTGTTTCCTCTGAGAAGGGTTTGATTCAAACATGCTGACATAATTGTCATAGAGTCCTGCACAGTCATTTGAAAGACCAGGTATATATTCAACTCTACAGCCACGTGGGATATGTTTCCGAGCAGTTTTCAGCACCAGGTTAGCAAATTGGTCATAGTTTGTGCTAACTGGTATTATATTTTTGGTCTTCTCTTCCAGCTCGTTGGTGAAACCTTCCCAGTCTGCTTTCTTGTAGTTGAAACGCCTTTTAAAGGGCACGATGGTTGGGACTACAGCTGCATTGATTAGGATCCCAATGGGACGGTGTTGGCTTGATGGAATAGGGTCCAGCACAGTCTTTTTACACAGTCCAGCAATGTTATTTGTGACCATGGTGAGATCTGGATTATAGCCCCGTTTCCAGCGAGCACTGAAGAACAAGTGTGGTAGCTTGGGGTCATGGATAAGACTTAGTTGGTTGGTATCTATCCATTCCTCTACTGCTTCTCCATCCTTGTTTGTTTCAGGCTAGCCCCACTGGGTACTGTGGCTGTTGAAGTCACCAATAATGATCTGTGGTTTGCTGTGTACTTTGGGGATTGGCTGGGGAAATATAAAGTCTACAGGTTGTGGTTTATAGACAGATGTTACTACAGCACTGCTTAGCTCAACAGATAGGACTTCGATGTTCGAAGTATGGCACTGCCATATTGCCTGTGAGGTCGCTCAATGGCCAGGACCATTCCTGGTATGGTGGGGCGATTGTTTTCACTCCGTCTGTGCGTCTCTTGCAAGCAGAGCACGTCACAGTGTTGCTTGCTGCATAGATCGGCTAAGACGGTTCGTTTTGCAGAGGAGAACCCTTCGATGTTCACAGATATGACTGTCAATGCTGGTCCTGAGGAAGTTCCTTGTTTCCAAGATTGACCTTGTCTATCTCCAGGCATGATGTTTTCTTCAGACGAAACGCCAACATAGAATAAAAAACATCAATCGACAAAAAATATACTAATATATACAAATATATTGCAAAAAGCTACAAGCTATGCGGACTTGCTGCCACTTGTTGCCAGTGCATCATTTGAAAAAAAATATGTACATACTGTATGACCCCACAGTCCACAGTTGCAGTGCTGTTTACTGTCCAATGAAAACTTGAACCTTAACTTTACTTTGAAAAAAGGACCAGTCATCTCTTCAGCTGTGCTACAGCTGACAAATTGACCGCCCAGTGTCACCTGGCCAGCAGGTCATCAAATAACTGTCTGCAGGTGAGCAGTGGCAGCTGTCAGTGGAACAGCAGGTGCCTCTAAAACAGAGCGACTCTGACATCAAACCGTGTATGACACCTAACACCAACATTACCTAAACACACACTAATAACGGTGTTCTAACTAAAAAACACAAATTAGTGAACCACCCGCTTCAAAACTCACATGAACCCATATGAGGATAAATGTGAAATAGTTTAAACTAGACATGCATAGATATGGAATTTCAGGGCTGATCAATCTTACAGATGCCAGACTGTGAGGAATAAAATGTATAATGTATATTTTTAGACTGGCTAGTTTATTTTTGTAATATAACACCAATACTTTGAGTGCTCACCATCGATACAATCAGAAGGGTAAAGGGTTTGTAATAGCCCTAATTTATGTAGATAGATAGATACTTTATTTATCCCCTTGGGGAAATTTATGTGTATATTAGCTCATTGTTCATAATGATAACAGTTAATAATAAGTAAACAATAATAATTAAATTAGTCCACTTCCTTTGACTGAGTTGTTCTACACCCTAATGGCAGTGGGGACAAAGGATCTCCTGAACCTCTCTGTTCTGCAGCGCAGTAAGATGAGACATTTGTGCAGCTGTAGCTGCTTCTCTGTCCTGCCAGAATATTTTGAAGAGGATTGTTGGTATTGTCCAAGATGGCCTCCATCATACATTGCATGCATCTCTCCACAATTGTCCTGAAGGGTTGGCCGAGACCTTCGAAAGTCAATGACTTTGGTCTTGGTGTTCAGAAGGAGGCAATTCTTGTCGCTTGTCCTGGCTTTGCTTGCCAGACCACATCAGCATGTGTTGCTTCCCTTATCCCTTGACATTTGGAGGGTTGTAACAAGTGAACCAGTTGGTGTTTCAATCTCAGAAACCAGGAGATTTGTGTTAGTGTGTTTAGGCTGTATGTTTCATAAATGCATATTGGTTGATTTTTGTTGTTTTTTTTGTCTCTCTGCAGACTAATGAGCTGGTGATGAGTTTAGATGATGATGAAAAGCTCATTCTGCAAGACGGCCAAACCCTCAGGACTGCAGGTGTTGGTAAGAGTTTGTCATTGCTGCCCATTAAACACTCACTGAAAACAGTGATTTGGCACTTTTCAGATGCCTTTAGTGTCTGAAAATGAAATATGTTGAACAAGCCTGAGCTACTTTCCATAGAAGAGTCTTCTTTCCCTCTCTTTCTCTCTCTCTTTCTCTCTGCCTCTCTCTGTCTCTCTCTCAATTTCAATTCAATTCAATTCAACAGGCTTTATTGGCATGACATTTTCAATTGCCAAAGCACAATACATATCATTCAATGGAATTCAATGATCAGAGAAATAAAAATGTCGATGACTTATTAAATTTATATATAAAATACATTGTAATTGTTAATTGAATTAAATTGATGAAATAAAGAAAAGGATAAAAAAGCAAACTTAACATATACAGTATATGTGTATATATATCATGTGTATATATATATGTGTGTGTTTGTGTGTGTGTATGTATATATATATATATATATATGTATGTATGTATGTGTGTGTGTGTATATATCTATATATATGTATATACATATATATTGGTGGCCTTTCATGTGCTTGTGCAATGAACAGGGTAGGAGGCGGGACTACACTGCACAGCACAAAGTGCTTCTATCAGCCACAGACATCCGTTTTAAAGTGATAGGTGACTAGAAGCATTAATTCCCATCTACCCATCAGGTATTTTTAATGAAAATCGGCCAATCATGATCAGCGACGACCAATCGGAGCATCTCTCTTTGTCTATTCTGTTCAGTGAGTGTCAGAGAGGTGGAGCAGCAGTTTATTACCCAGACGAAGGTTGTGCTCTGTCTTCACAAAATTGTGAAGACAGAATAAGAAAGATATTGTCTCTTCTAACTTTCTCCGTGAGTGATCATGTTATAGTAAATCCAGCTGAAATCACAGCTCAGTCTTTGTCTTTAACTGATGTGTTTGGTGATTTTGTCAGACGACGTCGTGGTTGTGAAATACTTCCTCAATTTCACACATGCACCACACATGGTCCAGACAGATACTGGGGTTTGACCTGGCCTTTTTTATATTTGTTAGCTCTCATTTATATAAATGGGATGGACAAATATTAGAGAGACCTCTCAAGATACCACAGTATAGGTCAACAGCACCACAGACTATAGATTTCATGAGCATGAAGTTGAATCAGCACCTCTCTAAAACGTTTAAAAAGTTTATCTTGATGACATTGTGGCTCACTCAAACACTTGGGCTGACCACATGAAAACCCTGAGCATCATTTTCAAAAGATTAAAGAAAGCTTCACTTACTTTGAACTTTGCAAAATGTGACTTTGGTTTTGGGGATAGGGGCACAAACACCTCCTTATTCTTATGTTGTGCTCCCATTCCGCTAGACTGGAGCGTAACAACATGAGACAAAGACTGGAGCGTAACAACATGAGACAACATGATTACAAGGGGAAATAAGTTATTGTAGTTGATCCCACTGATTTGAGCTGCTAATCAGTACAAAAGCAGAAGGATTAGCAGAAGCTCTGACACAGTCCATGGAGGTAATTTAGGTATAGGATATCATTCTCACTCATGTCCATTGTGAAGAAATTTTGTTCCCTGTGAAACATGATGCCTTTATATTTAGTTCAGTATCACAGTAATCCACTGATAGTTGTCTGAACATCCATGGAAATGTTGTAAACAGGAATCGTTAATAACTAATTTGACATACTTTTGACGGTGCCAGATTTCCAAGGTGTAAAGAACTACCAAATATATACAGGTCTCAAGCTGTAGACTAGCTGTAGCCTAGCCTGCAGCTAACTTACTCCATGGCAACATCATACTGTACTTCCTGTTTACATTAAATTCCATAAAGTTTTCTCAAAGGTTGTACTATCAATACATTTTGATATTATTGTGCCTCAGAATTATTTTGTTCCTGGAGCACTGACTGTCCCCTCTATTCATCCATATGTTTGCAGTGCAACCAGAAAGTATTCAGACCCCTTCACTCTTTTCACATTTTTGTTATGATTCATTGAAGGTTCAAAGAACAGTGGTCTCTATCATTCTTACATGAAAAAGTATGAACAACCAGGACTCTTCTAGTGCTGGATCGGGACTAATTGAGACATCTGGGAGAAGAGAGGAAAACAAGAACCTGATGGTGGCTCAGTTCTCAGAGTCCGATCTGGAGGAAACCATGACTGAACTGTTTGACCTCAGTTCTAAGCTTCATGTCTGGAGAAAACCAGGCACTACTCATCACCTGAACAACACCACCCAACAGTAAAGCATTGTGGAGGCAGCATCAGGCTGTGGGGGGACAGGGTGACTGAGAGATCCTAACAGAGATCCTTAATGAAGACCTGGTCCAGAGCTCAGGACCTCAGACTGGGCTGAAGGTTTACACAGCCAAGACAATCTCCTGACCTGAACATGTCTGTCCACTGATAGTCCACATTCAACCTGACAGAGCCTGAGAAGACCTGCAGAGAAGAACAAGAAAAAATCCTCAAATCCAGATGTGTAAAGGTTGAGATGTCAGATCAAGAAGACTGGAGGCTGTGATCACTTATAAAGCTGCTTGAGTGTGATATTTCAGTTTTTCCTTTTAAGACATTTGCAAAGATTTCTAAAATTCTGTTTTCACTTTGTCGTTATGAAGTAGAACTGAGAGTAGACTGATGAGGGAAAAAATGCTTTTTGTTTTTTATTTTAGCACAGAACTGCAACATAAGAAAATGTGAGCAAACTGAAGGGGTCTGAATACTTTCTGAATGCACTGTTTATATATATTTTTTACATTATCACTGTGTACAGCTTTTCAACCCATAGTGTGAGTGTTTGGAATTATGTTGAAAAAAATAGTTTAACCTTTTGTAATATTTTTCATCATAAACTAAAATTTGGAAAAGGTCTCTGCATATTGTAAAAACAGTTGTCTTTATTTTACTGCTGTTGGTCACTATCAGATTACCAGTGCTTAGTATATGTTCAGAGTATATCAAAACCTTAGACAGATTAATTCACCATGTCATCAAATGGAAATCTTAGCTAAATTTAAGATCAGAATTACTTGTAATGATATACTGAGGCCATCAATATTAGTCCAATAGACTTATATTAGATAATTGATACTGATGAACCTCTGCTGGAAGTACAGTTTCAGCACAGTGGTAACTAACACTTTTGTTTGTTGTTTCAGCCAGTGAAACAGAAGTGGCCTTCTTCAGGAAAGAAGACTATGGTCTCTATAAAGCAAATCCCAAAAGTGCCTGGTGACCAGTATTTTACTTTATAGCATAGGAGATTCTTAAAGGCCAAAAGACAAGGATTCCAGGGCCCACAGGAGAACAAAAATGGTGCCATCATGTTTCTACTGTTGAGTTTTAATTTGTGCAGATGTTTTTAAAATTGACGCTTATCATACATGGGTATGCCTTTTTGTTTCTTTTTTCTATTTCCTTTTTCTTTTTTGACCATGAATGTTAATTTTCAGTGTTGTTTTAAAATATACTCAATAAAGTTTTCTGATAGCTGCATTTTTTTAATGTTTTTTGTGTATTAACAGAGTAATATTTACTGCACTAAACTCTTGGTAACTTGGTAACTAACTGGTAACTTTGGTAATGTGCTGCAGTTATGGTTATGAGGAAAAAAAAAAGTGAATACAAAACACTGTGTTAATGTGTGTTTTGAAGTTTCTTTATTAGACAAAATAATTTTTTTTTATCAAACCTGTAAATGTCCTTGATCTTGAACTTAAAGGATTAGTGAGTTTTAAAACAAACTGATATATAGTATATCTAACCACTTATATATATATATATATATACATATATATATACATATATATGAATGTCATAGCTGCAATGAATGACTTGTTCAAAAATGGCACACTGACTATACCAGTGTCCCAAAGGTTTAAGTGACACATCTCCAAGGTTTGCATTACGTTTACTCTTCTGATTTTCTTCTGTACTCAAATCCTGTTTGGGAAGACGTGTGAGTGGCTGCTGCCTGAAATATGTCATTGCTATTAATGAAGGCAATGCTGTCTTGGAATCTGAATAAAGAACTGAAGACATGACTGTCTTAGTACTGTTAGAAACATTCTTGATTCTCTCAACCAATTACACAAAAGCAATACCTTTTTATTCAGTCATCCAAAGATGATTATTTTAATAACCTTAAAATTCTGAAAGGCCAATGTCTTTTTAAACATTTTATTAAATACAGAAGTTCAAAAAGGCATCTGTTGAACATCACATAAATTCATTACAGTGCAACTGAAAACATGCCTGCAGCAAATACTGATAAAATCAAATACAGTGCATTCAGGAAGTCTTCAGACCCCTTCAATTTGAAGCATTTCATGTTGCAGCCTCATTCTAAAATCAAATAAATAAAATTTTACACTCAGTACCACATAATGACAAATTTATTAAAAAGTAGAAATGATAGTACTTAAAAATGACATGCAATGCAAGAAACATTACATTATAATGACATGAAACTGATGTATTGCATACAGGATTACATAACATATTTTCTCTACCAAGTACATGAGTGAAATTGAGCAGATAATAAATAGTGACATTCTCATACATGAAACATGGTCATATAAAAATTATAATGCAATCACATTACAATCATTTTATGTGTGTATGTGTGCACACGTGTACGTGTAGTATGTGTATGTACATAACATTTATGGGTGTGAGTGTCCATGTACATGCATGTTCTGACGCCTATGATTTAAAAATCTCTCTCGCCCTGATAGCAGCGTATTTACGATATTATTATACTACCGGTATAACGCTTAGAGTAAAATTAGTCAATAAGGTAATGACAGATGAACGTTTAAATTTAATGTATTATTAAATTATAACTATTATTATTATTATTTAAATCCATCAACGGTAATTTAAGAGATGTTCCTTATTTGTGTAGGGATTATGGAATAGGGATACTTTTCTACAATATCGATTAATATCACTCAACTAAGCTAATATCACTATATATCGAACTAACTTTTGCTTAATATGATGCTACAGGCAACCATTTAATACACTTTACCGTCGCACTGCTGACAGTAAAGTTCTCACACATTTTATTTTATTTTGACGGTTTGATTTTACTTCCATTCCTTGCTTTCAGTCCACAGACTGTGTGCTGTTTAATTCGCATGGGAAACATGAAAATGTAAATTACACCAAACCAAGAACAGGAAGTTGGTCCGTTTTCTCGATTATGGATTGGTTACAATCCTCACACCACCCAATGAATGACCGTTATATTATGTCAGTTTTCGAGTTAGCCAATAGCGTTGAGCGGAGGGCGTGGTCGAAGAGCACGGGCGTCGGCCTGGTAGGCAGTATTTCACTATGAAGGGGACTTCACCTCTTTAGCCTCTGCAGAGTTAGCTTTTTTGGTGAACGGAGAGCTTGTGTTGTGTGACCTGTAACTAAAGATGGCTGACCTTCAGGTGGGTACAGAATCGATGCTACTACAGATAGTTCGTGTTCCGCTGTGTCCCGTTAAAGGAGCGACGGGGGAATCTGTTGGCTGGGGTTTTAGGATTTCTTAACCAACACAAGAGAGAGCCTCGGTTTCCCTCCTGAGCTACAATGAGCACATGGCAACGCAACGGCAGAGTATTGTTTCTTCCTGATACTATACGTTAAAAGCGTCACACTGGGCTGTTAGTGAATGTGTGTGGGGATGGGGTCGGGATCGGGAATTCACCTTTATCCTTCATTCCATGAGGTCACTGCACCAAGTACAGTTTCTGGCAAGTGTTGATAGTTCATGTCTTTAGTGTATAGTGTCCCTTTGACCCCTCAGTGCTGGCAGATGGACTATGGTAGTGATGAGCTCACCTGTAATAAGACAGTACAATTGGAAGCTTAAAATCTAAAAATCAGACATCAGAAGAATCGGCTGCTGTTACAGAGCTCTGCATGTCTCCTCACATGTAGGAGGTCTGAGTATTTATGTGAGGAAAAGTTCATTAACAGCCTCACAGTCAGACACAGGAGCCACATCTGGCAGCTGATCAGCTCAAGAGTTTGGAAGAGTGATTAAATGGTGCCTGCAGGCAGACTTTCCTCCCTGATCTTTCACCTACAGCCATACAGCTGGGGAGACACTCATTCATACTGTAACAACCATACTGCTCCTCCTACATGTGGATACAGACATGAGCAGCACAGTTTTATACAGTGCAGGTTGTTCTAGTTTGTGTGGTGTTTTCAATGCATTTATTCATATCTGTGGTGGTTTTCTGGCAGTAAGCAGAATAACAGGATTATCTGCACCATGAGTCCAGATCCAGACCTGTAACAGACCATTTCACTGCTCCTCCCCTCTGGCCCAGTTGGCACAAAGTGGCACCGCCAGTGGGGTTTTGTTGTGTGTGGAGGAGGGGTCTGAGTGAATCAATGAGCTTATTGAACCTGAAGGATTTTGTCCCTTCTCAGTTACACTACTTCATCTCAAAAGCCGTTTGTGTGCAGCTTCAAGTCAAATTCAACACACCTACCAGTAACGCTTGTCTTATCAGACTCTTGAGGTGAAGGAGTGAACATTGATTTATTGTTTCTAATGTAACTGATTAACAAACACAAGTCATATGTGATGCAATCTTAGATAAACTCCAAACATTTTAATTGCCAAGTACTTATTGACTTTGTGACTGAAGAGCTCCACTACTTCATGTTGTGTCAAACAAATAGAAGCCTTCACCAGCTCAGGACAGGTCAGTGATTACAGATAGTGACATATAGTAACCCAGTCCCACACACGCAGCAAACTGTCATGCACACCCTGTATGACAGGTACAGAGAGGGCAGATCAATTGTCAATGTGTTTGAGAGAGGCTAAGTGACTCAGTGCACTGCATGGCTCTAAACTGAAATAAGATTTTACCCATTTGAAATAGTTGGAAAAAAAAAATCAACATGTGGATGCCTGTGTGGCCAGTGTTGATATTGTGGTGGTTTGCCACAAATAAATCAGTGTGTTCACTGGATTAACCCGAAAGACCAAAGTATCAGAAACGTCTGTTTTGAAGCAGGTTTTTACATAAGCCTGGACTTTGTTCAGGCTCCACCTTTAGAGATTACAGTCACACTGAAACAGTGTTTCCCCCTATGTCCCACCATGTCAGTCTGTTAGCACTGTCAACAGAAGTTCTGTGAATGTGGTCCTGACATCTGACCCTCTGTAGGCCATGGGAATCAACACACAAGTATCAAGTAGTGTTAATGAGGTTGTTGCCCGCTCCTCTCCAGGCTAAATTTGATGCAGCAGCAGCTGATGTGAAGCAGCTAAAGGCAAAGCCGGCAGATGAGGAGATGCTTCAGGTCTACTCCCTGTTCAAGCAGGCCACCGTAGGTGACGTCAGCACAGGTAACAAGGTTTTAAATGTGGTGATTTTGACCAATTATTGCTTATTCCTTCCATTTTTAAAGTTAAATATACAGGTATAATTATAATGTTGCCTGACTATTATTATTTTTTTGTATTTTGGTGGTGAAACATAAAAAAATCTGCTGTAGAAAAAATAAATAAATAAAAACCTACACCACCCTTGTCCTGTCCTGTAAGCCACCCCACCCCCCACCCCCCCTCGCCTCTTTTGGGAGCCATTGATTTAAAGCATCTGTGTTGTTCTGTAGTGAGGAGCCATTCAGAGGCTTTAAACTGAGGATGTCTGCCACTTGGCTCCTGTTCCTGCACTTTAACAAGAGGCTTGTTGACCTAACTATTGTTGAGCTAACTTGTTTCATTTACTTAAACTCCTTCTTACATCTGTCTTTGTCTCCCTTTCCTCTGAAGCTCGTCCTGGGATGTTTGACTTCACTGGGAAAGCTAAGTGGGATGCCTGGGAGCAGCAGAAAGGTACACACTCAGTCCTGTGGATGTTAAAGATATTTTTTGAACATCATGATTCAGGTGCCATGCAAAACTTTTTGAAGCAAGTTTCCATATGTGAGCTTATTGTGTTTTAGTTTAGTCTTCAGATTGACAGTTAGTGGGAAGATTTCAGAGTCTCAGGCTGTACTGCAGCTTTGCTGATGCAGCCACAGAAAAACCCCAACCTCAGACCTAGAATCCATTTGTGTGAACGTTTTCCTTATCACAGACCAGGAGATGTGAAAACCAAGTCTGATCAGGTGTGTATCTGACAGAGTGAAAAAGAACTGTAGCTTCTAAATTTGACACTTTATTTTTTATGAGCAACTTGATCCAAATACTAAAGGACCTGATTCAAAACTGTCATGTTTATAAGCTTGAATTATTGATATGAATCAAAGTTCAACTGGTAATATAGTATTCATGAAAGTTGTATGTCACATCACTGGAGTTGTGTGGACTACAGATACACTCGGTCCACTCATGGTTGTACAGCAATGTTACAGAGTGATGCTTCTTTTTTTGATTTTTGAAGGTCTATTAATTGAATATTTTCACTGTACAAAAATACAAATACAAATGAAGCATTGCATCCAATCAAAAATCGAGTGCCCACCCAACAACCCAACAGCCTGCCCAACCAACAACCCACCAGACCTATGCGACTGAGTGAAAGTTAGTCATTCCTGATGACTACCAAAGGGGAGCAACATAAATATTACAGGATTATTTTCTACTTCCATTTATACTTCCATTTTTCCACAAACATCAAGAATGGCTGCCAAGTTGCATAGAATTCCAGAGCAGACTCTTGAAGAGAGTATCTTATCTTTTCTAGCTTGAGATGTTACATAACCTCTTTGATCCAATGAGAATACGGAGAGGGGCAGAGGGTCTTTCCATCTGAATAGTATGAGCCGCCTGGCCAACAAAGTGCAGAAGGCCAGCATGTTACACTTATGATTATTTCGATGCAAACCCTGCGTTGCAATACTGAACAAAGCAATAAGAGGGGATGGATCCAGTGGCTCTAAAAAAAAATTGATTTCCAGAACAGTTGTAACCTTAGACATGTCCAGAACATGTGTAGTAGGCTTGCAGGTCGCATGTGGCATCTAAGTCCGATCTGATTTTAGGAAGTCTGGCTCAGTCTTGGCCTTTGACCAATGAAGCTGGTGTACTATCTTAAATGAGTCAACAGAGTGCCGTTGACTAATGGATGACGAGTAGATCCTACGGATAATTCTCTGCCAAGTTACATCTGGAATCTATTCATTTAAATCTTTTTCCCATTTATTTTTCAAATGATTTAAAGGGGTTGCCGTGTATAGATTAAGAAGGTTATATATCCTACCTATAATCTGTTTTAAATTTTTCCCCAGCATGCAAATGACTCTCATAGAGATGTGGGGGGTTATAGAGGGAAGCAGTCAAAATGTAAGGTTTGAAATTCCGCAATTGCAGATATCTAAGGAAATGGGACCTAGGGATATTGAATCTGTTCACCATTTGCTCAAAGGATGCAAAATTGTTATTCACATTAAAAGTCCTGTAACGAAAGGATCCCACTCTCTAGCCAAATCCCAAAGGCTCCATCTAACATTGAAGGGGCAAACATGTGGTTCTTAACTATTGGAGAGCAATAGACAGTGATGCTCCTTTTACTCCATACACAATCTTTGGCTCAGTACACACCAACTGCTCACAGACCCACAACAGCCAGGTTTCATTTTATCTACTTATTTATTGAACTAATATTAGTGTCAACTGATACAATATGATACAATAATTCAAACTTAATATTATGTTTGTAGATATGAGCGTTATGGTAGAAACATAAGAGCTTGAAGACTATTCACAAGTTAAATGCATTTCTTTTTTCTGCAAAATGCAGCCAGACTAAAACATGATTGAAAAACAGTAAATATTTTTTCCTGCTTGTCTCTCACATTCAGTGGATGAGATCCTCAGGTTCACTACCAGAGTGAACTAACCACCCATAAACTATGGCAGGAGCACTTACAGTGAAACCATTCACATCACGTGCATTGTAGCAGTTGGTGCTCAGGTCAGTGAAGTGATCCCAGTGTGTGTGACAGGCCTGTATAGACCTGAGGTTGACCTGCACACTGTGTAGCACTCAAATTTCTTTTGTTCCCTCTCAAATCTTTTGTTTAATATTGAACATTCTTATGTTCTCTTCAATCTCAACAATCTCCAAATCAAACTTGTAGGAGAAAACATAAGCAGCCCTCACTGACTGGTCACCACAGCCCAGAAATGTAGTTAGGTTTTTGAGAAGACCCACATTAGCAGGTACAGTTTCTGGTCAGAAAGGTGAAGAATCATGAGCATCTGCTGAATTAGTAAATCAGTTTTACAGAAAAGGTCAGTCAGACTTACTGGAAGAGAAACAGAGGGTGATCATCCATCAGTTTACAGACTGTGTCAACTTCACTTTGACTTAATTAATCCCAGATCTAGTTTCACTATCAAACCTGTGATAAAGCTTCATTGGCAGACACCAGCAGGTTCTGAGTCCTCAGGACCACAGAAGGAAGCAGTGGTAGTTTATTCATTCATTTGTCTTTATGTATTTAGTTAATGCGTTTTTATTTTTTCGTCAACAGGCAAGAGCAAAGAGGATGCCATGAACGAGTACATCAACCTTGTGGAGCAGCTGAAGCAGAAGTATGGATTCTAACGTCAGCTGATGACCACAGACCGGCTGGGCAAGCTGCTGGATGGAGGACTGAGCTCTGGCTGAGACCACCACCTCATCCAGATGCTGTGAAACGCCTTTCAGCCCGAGGAGTGTGCCCTTACACAACACGTGAATACCTGTTCGACTACTAGTGGTCTCACTGAGATGAAGCTGTGGATCAAACCTGTCCACCACAGTAGAATCAGTTTTTCAGTTTTTACCACCACTTTTCAAACAGAGGTCCTGTCATTTCAAAATAAAATAATTTTCTCAAACTGCTGTGTGTTGGTGTCCTCTGATTTTCTGATTAACATTGTATAAAACTGAGGCTGAATGATTTGTTGGATTCTAGGTGAATACATTCATCTAGTATTTGAACAGTCTGATCTGGGGTTGTGTTCATGAACTCTTACTGCTGCAAGTCCTCTAACTCGCACAAAGAGTTTCTTCAGACACAAAGCTGCTCTGAGCGAGGTCCATATCCAACTTCACACACTCAGACTGTTACACCTGTTGCTGTTCAAGTGCTGAGAGCTTACACTGTCTTTTGTAATCGGTGTTTGACAACTCCGGTTAACTCTTCTTTTCTACACACTGAAGTGTAGAGAAAAACCTGTACTGCACTGCCACAGTTAAATGGTGATGGCATTGAAAATGAAGGAGAAATGTATTCTGGTCTCCTTTAATTACAATTACATGTTGAGCAGCACTTTGTGTGTATGCGTGTGATTGTCTCATGATATAATTAAATGTGTGTATTTGGTTCAACAGAACAGCTTTAACAGGGAACTGTTAACTAAAGCCTGAATATCAGCCTCCCACTGTGCTGTCCAGAGATCAGTGCATGTTCTGTCTAATCACTCAGTATTAGTAAAGTTCTGCATGTAGCTCCAGTTTTACTAAATTATCTTGTGATGGTCAGCAAATCATCTTTATTTAATTCCTTTGACAGTTCATTTAATTCCATTAAATAATGATCAACTGCAACATTCAACATCAGTTGATCATTATTTAATGGAATTAAATGAACTGTCAAAGAAATTGTCCATTTTGGCAAAAGTCAACAGTTGCAGCGTCTTCTTGAACAACAGATCAATCTTCTCTTGCTGAGCATCATCCACCAATAGGAGCAGAAAGTAAAGGTAAACAAGCAGGTTATCAAAAATAATGCAGACAACAAGTGTCGTATACAGACTCTGTCAACTTCACTTTGACTTGTAAATAAAGGGGATGAACTTTTGGTTTGTTAACCTGATTGTGTGGCTATTTGTGTTTGTTGTCATGTCAGACTTTATTCTCTGCTCTTTATCATGTGCTCTGTTGAGAACAGTGTTATTACACCCTGTAGAAAGTGCCCAAACCTCAGTGAATACAACTCAAGTCGTGATAAACCAGGAACAATCTTTAATGTGTTTATTTTCACTTCAGAATCAGCCTTTAAGTTAGTCACACTAAACCCAATATTATTAATCCCAGATCAAGTTTCACTATCAAACCTGTAATAAAGCTTCATTGGCAGACACCAGCCAATTCGTCAACAGGCAAGAGCAAAGAGGATGCCATGAATGAGTACATCAACCTTGTGGAGCAGTTGAAGCAGAAGTATGGATTCTAACGTCAGCTGATCACCACAGACCGGCTGGGCAAGCTGCTGGATGTGACTGTGGTCCTATAGAAGACATCAGTGAGGATGGGTCAACATTTAATTTCATTTGTAAAAACAAAAAGTTTACTGTAGAGGTAGTGTTACTACTAAAAGGATTTCTATTACAGCTGTTCTCAGTTGTGCACTTTTAGTCTTTCAGACCAAACAGCAGGTGGAGACACACAGGCCAGGGGCTAAAGACCTCCTGCCGTGCTCTCGTTATTGTCTTTGCATGATCAAAATAGTCTAAATATTTAGAATTGAAAGAGTTAAACCCTTTACTTTACTAAGATTGCACAAACCTATTAGACTATCAATTACCAGGAGCAGTGAGTGCAACATTCACAACCTCTGGTTACAGGGAGATTTCTGTGTTATAGCGTTAATAGAGCAAAGCTCCTCATTAACAAGTAACTCAGTAAAACTGATCACTCTCAGATGAATACACAAACAGATACTGGCAGAACATTGACACAAGGGAAACATTCTACAACATGGACCTGGACCATGTACAGAAACACACACTTCATGCCTCCCCTCTCTTAAAGTTAAGTTATTACTGCGATCAATGTTGTATCAATTTGAAAGAAAAAAATAAAACTGTGAGTTGATCTATTGATATTGAACCGTCAAAAAAACATAACCCAACTATATGTATCAAACATTTCTCAATGAAATGTAATTTTGATCAATTTTTTAAATAAATAATTAATTTTGTTTGTTTTTTTTATCTGAGTTTTTTAGATCACATATCCAAGTGATTGACGTGGACACACATGGTGCAGTTCACTCTGCTCTGAACCCAGCAGCAGCTCATGGGGTGGGTGTGGGTGGGAGCATGAGCACCCTGATCATTTAGTAATGACGGCGTCCAGTCCAGGTTGACCTGCTGATGTGCAGGTACAGTGGCAATGAAAGGTCAGTGAATGACCTGGTTTTCTACATTAACTGGTGATAAATCTGATCTAATCTTAATCTAAATCACAGATTTAGACAAAGCGTCTCTGATCTGATATCACACACACAGTTTTAATCTGTGTCTTTATTAAACAAAGTCATTAAACACAGTTCTGGTGGAAAAGGTGAACATTGGATTTAATAACTGGTTTAACCTCCTCTGAAACCAGTTCTTCCAGCTGATCAGACCTGCTCAATGTTCAGGAAGTAAGAGGAAGTTTGGAAGTTCTTACTTCTGCTTCAGTCAGACATGTTCCCAGGATGTCTGGTGTGAGCAGGTATCTGAACATAGCAGTGATGTTGTGCATAATAAAATGTTCTCTGTGAACCCAATTTATCATTGTGTCAAGGATTTAATATTTATATTAGCAAAGTCACAGACAGATTCCCTGGAAACGTTAAACTCTGACACTTTATCACTCAGGCACAGATGAAACACTCTCTGTGGTCCTGAGCTGTGTCACACCCTGACAGTATGCACTTTCAGAGGTTGCCTGAGCCAAAGGAAAATCCCTATCTCTGTCCAAAGACCTTTAGTGTCAGTAAAGTGCAGCTTTTCTTCTCTTGGTCAAGCTTAGAGACAGAGGATGATGATTATACAGAGGTTTGGATAGGACCAAGTCCACTGAGAGTGTCCACACACTTTTGGCATATGGTGTAAAATCTTGTTCTTCTGAAAATTAAAATTAAAACTGTGTTACAACAAAGGGATAAGAATATATTGAGTTGTATTATTAAATTACCCATCTTTACAATATCCCTCTAATAAAACTGCAGTTGTACAAATTAGAACATCAGAACATTTCACACATTGTCCAGTGGTCAAACGACGGATGTGGTTGAGCTATAGTAAATTTCCACCTTCATCCTTCAGTGTTTTATTTGGGCTAAACGACAAAAAGCTCCTGCAAGTGGAGATGGGAATGCCTTAGTGCTGATCAAGCCTAGATAAGGTCTAAAGGAAGGAAAAAGTGATGACAGATTAGGCACTCAGTGCATACAGTAGGCTGGACTGGCCCCTGTTCTCTTTCCTCTCAACACGACAAGAACTACCACACTAAAAAACAAAAATGGCAGCCAATTTGAACATGTACAAATGGAGTATATTCTACTGAAGTGTGGAAACAATCGGAATCAGAAATTTATCGAAAACAAGAGAGATAAGAAATAAGAAGATGTTGTGCACATTCAGGTGGTGCAGCATGTTGTGTTAATTCCTTCTCATCTGCTGATTTAAAACTGCAGCAGCACCACTGTGAAGCTGTCAGACACAACTGTGAAGAGTCCTCCCCCTCAATATGAATACCTGGTCCAGGAGCAGGTCTGGAGCTGACAGATCTGTGCTCATCAGGAATAGTGCAAGAACAAATCCACGTGGTTAAACCCAGGTATGAGAGAGGTATGTTGCTTAGATTAGTAGTCAGATGTAGTACTTCCTGTAGCCAGATGCAGTACTTATTGTACTTAGATGTAGTCCTTCATGTACTCAGATGTAGTACTTCCTGTAGTTGGATGTAGTACTTCCTGTAGTTGGATGTAGTACTTCCTGTAGTCAGATGTAGTATTCGTTCATGTAGTCAGATGTAGTAATCCTTCCTGTGGTCAGATGTAGTACTTTATGTAGTCAGATGTAGTACTCATTCATGTAGTCAGATATAGTGCTTCCTGTAGTCAGATGTAGTACTTCATGGAGCCATATGTTGTACTCTTTCATGTAGTCAGATGTAGTGTTTCGTGTAGTCAGATGTAGTACTTCATGTAGTGAGGTGTACCAGTTTATTGGGTCAGATGTAGAACTCCTTCCCATAGTCAGATGTAGTCAGATGTAGTACTCCTTCCTGTAGTCAAACACAGTACTCCATTTAGTCAGATGTAGTACTCCTTCCTGTTGTCAGATGTTGTACTCCTTCATGTAGCCATATGTAGTACTTCCTGTTGTCAGTTGTTGTACTTCCTGTAGTCAGATGTATTACTCTTTCATGTACTCAGGTTTAGTATTTCATGTACTTCATGCCAGATGTAGTACTCCTTCATGTACTCAAATGTAGTATTTCCAGTAGTCAGATATAGTACTTCATGTAGTCAGGTGTAGTACTTCATGTAGTCCGATGTAGTAGTTTATATATTCAGATCTTGTACTCCTTCCTGTAGTCAGATGTGTACTCAGATGTAGTCCTTCATGTACTTAGATGTAGTACTCCCTGTAATTGGATGTAATACTTCCTGTAGTCAGATGTAGTATTCATTCTTGTAGTCAGATGTAGTACTCCTTCCTGCAGTGAGATGTAGTACTTCATGTAGTCAGATGTAGTACTTCATGTTGTCAGATGTAGTACTCCTTCCTATAGCCAGATGCAGTACTCCTTCCTGTAGTCAGATGTAGTACTCCTTCCTATAGTCAGATGTAGTACACCTTCCTGTCGTCAGATGTAGTACTTTTGTGTAGTCAGATGTAGTACTCCTTCCTGTTGTCAAATGTAGTACTTAATGTAGTCAGATGTAGTACTCCTTCGTGTAGTCACATATAGTGCTTCCTCATGTAGCCAGATGTAGTACTCCTTCATGTAGCCATACGTAGTACTCCTTCATGTAGTCACATGTTGTTCTTCATGTAGGCATGTAGAATGACATGTGACGTAGTACTTGCTGTTGTCAGTTGTAGTTCTTCCTGTAGTTAGATGTATTACTCTTTCTGACTTCTGGCTTCCTCATGTGGCCAGATGTAGTACTTCATACAGTCAGAAGTAGTACTCAGATGTATTACTTCATGTTGTCAGATGTAGTAGTTTATATAGTCAGATGTAGTACTCCTTCCTGTAGTCAGATGTAGCACTTCATGTATTCAGATGTAGTTCTCCTTCATTTAATCAGATGTAGTACTTTCTGTAGTAAGATGTAGTACTGACTGTACTTAGATGTAGTACTCCATGTAGCCAGATGTGGTACTTCATGTTGACAGATGTAGTACTTCCTGTAGTCAGATGTATGACTCCTTCATATAATCAGATGTAGTACTTCCTGTAGTCAGATGTAGTACCCCTTCCTGTAGTCAGTTCAAGTACCTCATGTAGTCAGATGTAGTACTTCTTCCTTTAGTCAGTTCAAGTACCTCATGTAGTTAGATGTAGTACTCCTTCCTATAGTCAGATGAAGTATATCCTTGCTATAGTCAGATGTAGAACTCCTTCCTGTAGTCAGATGAAGTACTTAATGTAGTCAGATGTAGTCCTTCATGTTGTCAGATGTCCTTCCTGTAGTCAGATATAGTACTCCTTCATGTTGTCCCTGAGTGAGTTGTTTATGTGAATCTCTTTCCTGTTGCCGTGGCAATGCTCCTTCTCCTTGATGCTTTTGTTGCTCCTCTGGGTCCACCTCCTGTATAGGAGGTGGGTCACCACGGCCAGGACACAGACTACGATGAACACCACGGCTGTGGACACACCTGAGGAGCAGCCAGGATAACAATTTTTTTTTCATGTACAGTTTTATCATTTCTCACACTGTGTAATATTCATTAATCAAAGAATAGATAGTAGTATACACTGTGTGCAAAATTATTAGGCAAGTGAGTATTTTGACCATATCATCATTTTTATGCATATTTTCCAACTCCAAGCTGTATAAACTTGAATGCTTATTGGATTTAAGCATATCAGGTTATGTGTATTTGTGTAATGAGGGAGGGTGTGGCCTAAAGAGATCAACACCCTATATCAAGGTGTGCATAATTATTAGGCAGGTTCTTTTCCTCAGACAAAATGGGCCGAAAAAGAGATTTAACTGACTCTGAAAGTCAAAAATTGTAAAAAGCCTTTCAGAGGAATGCAGCATTCTTGAAATTGCTAAGATATTGGGGCGTGATCACCGAAACATCAAACGTTTTGTTGCAAATAGTCAATCAGGTTGCAAGAAACGTGTTGAGAAAAAAAGACGCAAATTAACTGCTCAAGATCTGAGAAGAATCAATCGTGAAGCTACCAGGAACCCATTATCCTCCAGTGCCATCATATTCCAGGACTGCAACCTACCTGGAGTGTCCAGAAGTACAAGGTGTTCAGTGCTCAGAGACATGGCCAAGCTAAGGAAGGCTGAAATTCGACCACCATTAAACAAGACAAAGAAGTTGAAACGTCAAGACTGGGCCAAGAAATATCTGAAGACAGATTTTTCAAAGGTTTTATGGACTGATGAGATGAGAATGACTCTTGACGGATCAGATGGATGGGCCCGTGGCTGGATCAGTTACGGGTACAGAGCTCCACTTTGAATCAGACGCCAGCAAGGTGGAGATGGGGTACTGGTATGGGCTGGTATTATTAAGGATGAGCTAGTTGGACCTTTTCAGGTTGAAGAAGGACTTAAAATCAACTCCCAAACCTACTGCCAGTTTTTAGAAGACACTTTCTTCAAGCAGTGGTACAGGAAAAAGTCTGCATCTTTCTAGAAGGCCATGATTTTTATGCAGGACAATGCTCCATCGCGTGCATCCAAATACTCCACTGCGTGGCTACCCGGCAAAGGCCTTAAAGATGAAAGAATAATGACATGGCCCCCTTCCTCACCCGACCTAAACCCTATTGAGAACTTGTGGGCCCTTCTTAAATGGGAGATTTACAGTGAGGGAAGACAATACACTTCTCTGAACAGCGCCTGGGTGTCACGGTCCTGTGTTTTCTCCATCTTTTCCCCTTCTCCTTTTGTGGGTGTGTCTTTGTCTGTGTCTGAAGCTGTACACCCGCTGCAATCACTCACCTGCTCCTCATCTCACAATCAAGCCACCTACACTGCTGCAGGACAAAGGACCAGTTCATTCTTCCACTCCTCGCCAAATCGTGCGTTACCTACCCGTGGTAAACCTTAGACTATTTTTGAGACTACTTTGTATTTTTTGTGATTCTGGCACTAACCTGCCTATTCTCCGGTGTCTAGTTCCTGCGTCCTGCTTTCTGACTCCATTACTCACGTCAACCAGCTCTGCTTCAACTACTCACCTGCCCTTCTGGAAACTCCACAGCCTGGATCCACATTGGCCTCAGCCCCCCTTACTGGTTCTCTACAAAAATAAACTGTGATTCTCATCCTATTCGGTGTCCTGAGTCTGCATCTTGTTCATTCAGTGTACTTACCACTGGGAGGCTGTGGTTGCTGCCGCACAAAAAAATTGATCGTCAACAGATCAAGAAACTGACTCCATGGATGGAAGGCTTATGACTGTTATTGAAAAGAAGGGTGGCTATACTGGTCACTGAATTCTTTTTTGGAAATGTCAGAAATATTTATTTGTAAATTTTGAGTTGTTTGTTATTCTCACTTTAACAAATGAAAATAAACAAGTGAGATGGGAAAATTTTTGTTTTTCATTTTGTTGCATAATAATTCTGCACACTAATAGCTGCCCAATAATTGTGCACAAATGGATATTCTCCTAAGAAAGCCAAAAACTCACTTTTACTATCTTAAATATTCAGATTTGAGGATTATTAACATTTTGGATTGACCGAGAGCACTGTATTTGTTCAACAATAAAATGAATCCTCAAAAATACAACATGCCTAATAATTGTGCACGGAGTGTAGACGGGCATATTCGAGCTGTGACAAATCAGCATCGTGATGCACTGACAGTGTAGGAATCCTGCAGAGAGTCTTCCTCAGAGAAAACTGTCTGGGATGAGCAGAGTTTCAAACATGAACAGAGCAGCTCAAATGTTTTGTCAACAGCAGATGACGTCTCTCTTTAACTCATGTTGAAGATCTGACAGTCATCATGTTTCCTGTGTGTAACAGTGCATGATTTTAATTGGCATCAAAGTGATCCATACAACAACAATCTGCAATTAACTATTACCCGAGTGCCATATACAAAATAAAAGGTGGCCATTTATTGAGCGTGTCATATTGTTTCATTTCTGAAACAAATTTCAAAGTTTAATTCCCTCAGGTTTGACTAGTTTACATGTAAAAACAATTGTTGCCAATCTGGAAAGGTTCAGTCCTCATTGTGATCTTCACTCTGACATAAACTGGAGAAAATTTAATGATCCTGTAATGATCCACAAATAAATTAGAATTTAATGACACTGTTTTTAACCCCAACAATCTCTATCCCATCATGTTGGTCATCACAGCTACACATTCAGGTGTATTTCAGTTCCAATAGTTCAGGTGTTACTTTGGCCAGACTCGTTAAAAAGAGGATAGAGTGTGCAGCCGTTGCCATGGTTATATGGTGTTTGGGAAAGACCAGTGGGGGAGGAGACAGGACCTGACTGTCCTGAGTAACTGCAGAGCAATTAATCTAAACCAACAAGTTTGATGCTCAGAGTTTTCTGTGGTTATTTCATAGCAGTCTTCTGCTTATCACATACAGATTTAACCTCGGGATGTGTATGTAACTGTGGCTCTGCAGTGTGTAACATCAGTCCAATTAGAGACTGCAGCTGGAACAGATACCTGCTGCCACAGACAAGTCACTAGTATAAAAGACAGTTCTCCAGTACAGACTTCCAGCTATACCTGGTGATGGAGCACCCTTTAATGTTTTCTCTGTCAGGCTTGGAACAGATTTGATTCTGACTGATGACTAGTGAGTGATCACATGTCAGCTGGTTGAAAAACATAAAATGGAAGTAGAGCAATGAGTGAAAGATGAATGAAGGGATTTGTATGATTTCACTTTATTTGCCCTCAACAAAAACAGTGACCAAAATATTATGGAAGAAAAGTGCCCTGAACTGATGACCAGGTAACTGCGCAAGACACACTCTTTCTTGGTATCAGGATTTCAGTGTGGGCCTAGTCACCAACACACCAAAGATACCAGTTAAAGAAATAATCACAGGGCACCCACAGAAAATTCAATGGTGCAATGCTGTGATTTATGTCAACACCAAAGTAGAGTCCATAGTGTAAATGAGCTGGAACTAAGGAAAGGGAGATAGTGAGAGGAATCAGAGGAAATTATTAAAATGCAGGCAGATGGACAGAGTAAAACACACAGAACAGCTGGGACTCATTGTCAGTAAACAGAAGAGAACAGACCTGCGATTATAGCCACATCATGTCTGCTATCACTGCCATGCTGCTCCTTCTCTTTATCCGTTGTTGCAGTTTGATCTGTAGAGGCATAAGAGACATTTATTAAGTGTGTTGACTGAGCAAATAAGCAGTGATGCTCGTTCTGTTAGCTTCATAAACTGTTTGGTTTAAAACAACGGCTAAAAACTTCCAGTACACACAAAGGGGGTTTCAACTAATTTCTGAATTATTCCTGAAATGTAACAATGACACAAATGACAAATCTGTAAACCTCAAAGCTGTGCAGCACATATATATGCTGTTGCATAGCTTCATTAGGTAAATTAGGTAAGAAAATTTGAAATTAGGTTCAGAACCTGTGCTCTGCTTATTCCTTCTAAGACCAGAGCTTTAATGTAACTAAATACATTTACTCAAGTATTGTACTCAGTGAAAATGAGTTTTCATTTACTTTAGTTGAGTATTTGAACTCTTTCTTACACTCCAGCTCCACTTCAGAGGGAAATATTGTACTTTTTCTCCATCAGTTATTTACTGTATGTAATTAAAAAACTAATTAACAAAAACGTATTCCATACGTAAATGGTATAGAAGACAATACATTGTTAAAGATTCAGCCAGTGGTTTTCAGTCTGTTTGACTTGTGACACAAATGTTGTGGCCTCTTGTTCCAGTAAGAGACATTTCTCCAGGTAACTTCACAGGGCTTCATTTAATGTGTGTAACTGTTCAAATAAAATAAACTCAACCCAAAAAAACTGTTTTAGGCCCAAACATTATTATCATCCAATGTTTCACAGCAAAGATTGGAGAACTTGCAAGAGGAGTTCAGTCTGTTTCTATCTGCTGAATCAATGCAGCTGCTTTTCCAATGACTGACAGAGTGTGTTACCTCTCAGATTGTGTGATTTGATGGAGTCTGCCAGGGCTCCACAGTTGGACTGGACCAGTGGACCCCGGACCGTGACCAATGAGCTCCCTCGATTCAGCAGCAGGGCTTTCAGAGGAGCCATGTGATTAAACTGGACTGAGGAGAGGCAGCCAATGAAACCCCTCGAACCTGCCTCAACCACCTCATCTAGGCAGTTGTCTCCTCCTACAGACAGTCAGTCAGTCAGTCAGACAGACAGACAGACAGACAGACAGACAGACAGACAGACAGACAGACACTCATGATAATGTGTGTGTCTGTGCTCGGCTGCAGCTCTTCATAGATAGATAGATAGATAGATAGATAGATATATAGATAGATAGATACTTTATTTATCCCCTGCGGGGAATTCAGGTGTCCAGCAGCTCATTAATAAAAATAATAATAATAGTTAATAATAAATAATAAACAATAATAGTTCAATCAGTCAAGTTCATTAGCCACTTCCTTTGGCTGAGGTGTTCTACAAAAGATCTCCTGAACCTCTCTGTTCTGCAGTGCAGTGAGATGAGACGTTTGCTGCTGTAGCTGCTTATCTGCCCTGCCAGAATGTTGTGGAGAGGATGGTTCTTACATTGCATGCGTCTCTCCATAACAGTCCTGATGTGTCCTACTTTAGGTACTGGAACAAGACATGATGTGTCCACAGGACCCGGACCCTCCCTGTTTGTAGGCTTAAGTTAAAGATCCTCTGGAGAGGCTCAGCCAGCCTTGGACATACACCATCCAGGCCTGCTGCTTTTCCAGGATGTAGCCTCTAGAGCTCTGCCCTCACTTCCTCTGCTGTAAAGGATAGGAGACTTGACCCCAGTGTGGAGGGAGTTGCAGCTGCAGTATCAGGTTGTGAAGGAGATCCTGTAGGAGAAGCTGCAGCTGAAGCAGTGGGAGAAAGAACAGGTGAGGCTGTCTCACACCTGTTGTAGAACAGGTTGAACTCTTGGCCTTGTCCACATCACCTGGTGTTGCCTGGCTGTTCTTCTCTTTATAGCCAGTGATGGTCCTCATCCCCTTCCACACCTCTCGTGTTGTTGAGCTGCAGCTTACTCTCTACCTTCTTTTTGTAGTCCTCCTTCGCCTGCTTTAATCTCCTCTTCAGCTCATGTTGCACACACCTGAGCTTCTCCCTGTCTCCATCCCTGAAGGCCTCCTTTTTCTGCTTGAGGAGGGTGTTGTTACTTACATGTTTCCAATGAAGATTGATGGTAGAAAAGGCTTATATCTCCATCTCCTAGCCTTTAGCTTAGCCCTGGCTCTGCATCCACATTAGGACTACGGTTTCTTTAGCTCAGCTGGTAAGAGATGTTTAACTCCATATCTAGCACACTTTAAAGCCAGGAGTTTTTACTTCATGTACATTATTTTCTACACCATTAGGCAAAACAACAATGTAGGATAAAATACTATATACTGCAAAAAAAAACAAAAAAAAAACAACTGTGCTTCACTGTTCCTCCTTACAATACAAAGCAACTTTTTCTGTAGCAACTTCACAACAACATGACAAATCTGGCAGCTGATTTAAGTGTTAAGGCCATCGCCACTGTTGCAGTGGCAGAGACAAACTGAACACATCTTTTTTTGTATAATTCATTAAAATTGAAAGCAACTTGTACCAGTGAGAATAAATCCAGTGCAGGTGGTGACCCTGTCTTCACAAATCTTATTTTCTGCCTATGAAAGTTTCATCAGGAGTAAATGATGAATGTAAGGATATTTTTCGTCTTTTCACTAATCAACCATTTAATTCACTGAGCAGCTTAGAGGCTACTGGCAGCTACCGGCATCTTTTAAGGTGGAATGTTTTCTTGAGTGTAACTTTGACCATTTCATTTGTTTTTATCAGATCTCGACACGAGAGACTCTTTAGTGATGATCGGATCTTCAACCGTTTACAATGTATATAAATTTCAATCGGATTATGTGAACTGTAGATATTTTATTTCATCTGGAGAAAAAAAGTAGTGGAGCATCGTTTCGGTGGCTCCGGCAGCTCTACACCTATGGTTCCACCACTATGTTGCACGCGGTACAAAACAGTTTAACGGTAATTTTTGTTGATAAATGTGAGACGTTCATGTCACACATGTCACAGCGAAGATTAGCAGCTTAACAATATGCTTCAAAACTAGAAACCAGGAAGTGAGTTTGGTGACATACATCAAAGTTTTGCGCAGGGACTGGTATGATTGGTTCAACTGTCAGGAAACTATAAATATCAAAAACTGTCTAGTAAGTGGGCTACTTTATTGAGAAGTGAAAGTGCCAGATGTGGAGGATAACCCTAACACCTGATCGAGTCACCCTCAGGCTGTACTGTGCTTTGACAGTCAGCTGCAGTACTGGCAGCAGCATCTCTGAGTGGAGTGAACAGACAGATTTGAAGCAATTGGTATTTTGCTTAAACCTTTCAAACATCATGGAACTAAAAAAATAATCCTAGGAAGAAATCATCCCATCAAGCAGGCAGCAGATTTTGGTCGGGTGGTGTTCCCCCTGAGAGTCCGGGATAGAACAGGTCTAAACAGGCGAACCCTCGATTGCCTGATGGCTGCATTGTGTTTACTGAGTTAGGATAAGAGGTGACATAAAAAGAAGAAAATTATACTGATTGTACAGTCTTCAGTGGTCATCTAACAGGTAAAAAAAAGTTTGAAAATATATCTTAATAATCAGAATATAAAATCAGTCAGTTGATTTTAAAGTGTTCTCTGGTTCGTTGCACAGACGTGGAATTGTAAACATTGTTATTAAAAGTTTAGGTATAAGTGCCCCTGAAACCTGAAAGATGGAAGACATTAGGTTCTTTAATTAAGTGCAAGCTGTCACACCGCGGTGAGGTCAAGTTGGGTTTTTGTCCTGTCTCCGTGTTTTGTCTTGTCATTTCCTGTTTTATTTTGAAAAGAAACTCTCCTCTCGTTTCAGGTCACTTGCCCTTCCTCACGTGTCACCGGTCTGATTGTCTTCCCTGATTCCCGATTGTGTCCACCTGTTCTCCATTACCCCCATGTGTTCAAATAGTCTGCGTCTGCCTTTGTCTTGTGCCAGTGTGTTCGTCTTCGTTCATGTGCGTTCACCCCAGCCTTATCACAGTTTGGACCATAGTTGTTGTCACAGATTTTGTCGGATTCCTCCAAGAGAGAGATTTTTGTTGTAAGTTTTATATCTTAGTTTTGTTTCCATAGTTAATGCTTTCACAGCTTTTTGTTTCCTCCGTGTGGAGCGATTATTATTTACTTACCTTTTCATATAATAGTGCCTCCAGTTTTCAGGAGAGTTTTTGTTATTTCTATTTCATTTTTTGTTACTTCTTTTTCCTCCGTAGCGGGAGTGATTTTCTGTTAACGTTTTATATAGTCTTTGGGTTTCCTCCCTTATTGGAGCGATTATTATTTTGGTAATAAGTAACAAAAATTAACTGATGAAAATGTAAATTAAACAATGAAGTGATAATTTATCAAGTAATTTGATTAATGATTTATTTGATTTATTTAAAGCTGATTTTACTAAAACAGTCGTGATGTGATGAAAACAGATCGACATCATTTTACCTCTTATTCGTCATCATCAACGAATGCTGTAAATGATAAATATCAGCACTGTTTGAAATAAAATATCAAGTTAATCAAATCAATTGGCATTTAGTCTGCTTTTCAATTCACATACATTTCTATTTTTATTAGTTATTTTCTGTTGCTCCCACCTCTCATACTTGTGAAGCCAAACAGCAGACTGAGGGCAGGACAGACCTTCAGAACCTCTGGGTAAAAACATCAGAGTCAAACTATCAAACTGAATTAAAACATCAATTTAAGTTTCAGATTTACATCAAAAAATAAAATGTGAATGCTGGGACCTGAGACCTAAACACAGCACAGGCAGCCTGAGATGTGAACACTGGGATCTGAGAGTCAAATAAAGAACAGAGAGGAGGTTGCAGGAAATGACACATTCTGCTGGCTCAGACTTTTCTCAGGGAAATTAAGCAAATTAAAATTAAATTAAAATGAGATACTTACTGATGACTTTGCCCAGTGTCAAGGCTCTGATTAAGATCAGCTCTGCATCAGATGACATGGTGTACTTCCTGTGGATGTCCTGGTCGATCTGGTGAAATAGAAGTAATCACGGAAAAAGCTGGTTACAAGAAATCTATACATCATCAGCAGCAGCAACAGCAGCAGACACTGTGACACACTATGACACACAAAAAACTGTTTTCTTGACAAATTCACACAAACTACCATTAGCCCACAAAGATCTTAGAAGTGCTTCCACAACTGCTCTGATGTGCTGACTCAGATACTCTTCTCAATGCAGACCAGGAAATCTAACGCTGAACTGAAGACCTGTGACAAACCAAAAGTTTCTTCAGTTATTGTTTACATTCTCATCTGTGTGAGCTCTCTAGCATCACTGTGGTATTCTTCATTAGGTCCATGTGGTCCATGAACTGATGAATCTGAAATGTCTGTGGTGGAAAAATTAGAGATGATTTCTCTGCTGATTTTACTACAGACATTTTTAATGATTTATTTCATTATTTAGTTTCACATTCATATTGCTCCTGCAGGTGTTTGGCTCACTGGCAGGGGATTTGGTTCATGTTCATATTATTGTGATAATGTTTTCAGGTCCCATTCTTGTCATCATCATATCTCAATAACACTTTGAGGCAATTTGTTACATCTAGTACAACTTTCACGTGGACTCAAAGATGAACTGATAAGATTCTGGTGGTCAAAAGTCAAAGGTCACTGTGACCTCACAAAACATTTTTGTCAATAACTCAAGAATTCACATGCTAATTAACCCTGGACCTGTTAAAGGAAGCATAAAACTGTAAGGCAGTAATTCTAGTTTCCTCAATATCAATATTGAAAATATCTGAAAAATGAATTGCCAACATTTTTCTGTTTTTCTTTTTCTGTTACAAAATCCATATGGCAATGAACCTCTGGTCAGGATCTGGTTAGGAAACATGGTGAGCATAATGATGAAAATACCAACACTGACTGGTAATACGAGGTTGGCTCAGACAAAAATAAATCAGCTGACTACTAACCTGTACATACAGGTCTTTGCCCTCATGATGGATTCTGATGTGGTGGAGCTGTCCATCTGCCAGGCTGCTGAGGATGGGAATGAACATGTCTGGCTTCCTGTGTGTCTGTAGGTGATACCAGATCTGCAGACTTCCTGCACACAAGATCACACAGACAGCATGAACCTGCTGCTGGTCCACAAACATCTGAGAGTCTCAGGAGGGTTTAAGTCTGAGTTTGTTTTTCTAGATTGCTTTTTTAAAATCTTTGCCTTTTAATTAACAGTTGACGGTGAAGATGCATATGGGGGGGGGGGGACATTTCTTCTATGTGGCCATGACCACTCAGCTATCAGAAGAGTCCATGTCTGTGTTGTTGAATGTTGTCAATTTCATCTGAGACAAGCTTCAGTTCTTCTTAATCTGTCTTCAAAACTTCAACAAAGAGAAAATGTGCAGCCACAGCAGCTGCAGAATAAACACGGGCAATGTTTGAAATGACTACAATTATGATAACAGTATTTCCAATACATGATGTATATCTCACTATAATGTATGAAATTATTTTTTAAATCAATAAAAAAACATTTTCATATAATTAATACTTTTCACTCAGGTTAATCATGATAATACTGAATTATCACTTGGCCCTGAACCACATGAATCCGTTGTGGTTCTATTTATCATATACCATATATCATATACAATATTTATCAATGTTACAAACAACTGAATGCTGGGAAATGTGAGACAAACTAGTTCTTAAGGCAATGAGAAAAAAAAAGTTTCTATATGATTATATAACGTTATTCAAAGTCTGGAGTTGTTTCTTTGCTTAAGATTTTGTGAAGAACATTAATTAAAATCTAAACTTCATCAGGGAATGAGGAAGAGTTCCTACAGACACTCTGGTTGACGTCTGATTGTATATTTAGAGTTTCAGATGTATGGCAGTACTAAAGTCATTCTGATGCTGATCACTTGTGTGTACCGTTGCGAGCCAGGATGATAGCCATGTACTGCTGGCTGAAGGTGCTGACAGTCAGCAGCATGGCCGGACTGTGGGAGGTGATGAAACTGAAGGCCACGTCCTCTCTGGACCTGCTGCTGCTTTCTCTGGAAACACCGGATGTCTGAGAGCTTCTGTTTTGCATCACTGAGAAGGGCTCCTGGAAGGTGAAGGTGACCGAGGACTCTGTGTCGAAGGACACTGACACTTCTGTACACAAGCACAGAGAACACCTTTATATAACAGGATTCATACTGAAAGGTGCAGTATGTGTTACACCCCAACAGAACAAGCAACACACTGGTGATGTCTCCATAGAGTGGAGCTGTCTTGAAGGTGGTGCTGGAGGAAAGGTCAGGTACATGCTTTCTTCTCTGGAGGCAGGACTGGGATCAGGACACTCCATGACAATCAGACCATTAGATTGTGGAAATTTTGACCCAGTCATGGAAGAAAGGTCAGAAGGACTCATAAATATTCTTACTATACTTGTATGTACCCAATTACATTAAATTTACCTGGTGTAGTGTACATACCTGGCCTGGCATCAGACACAATCTGTTAAAGAAGTTCATTGTAAGGACATGCAGAGTTATGGATCCAAAATTGACACTTTGTTACTCTTCCCACCATCAAACTATCAAATTGATAGGAAACAGACAAATGACCCTTCTCTCACAAACAGACCATGCTTTTAGCATGCCAGAGGGATGCACAATCAGATAATGTGTCAAAGGGTCAGCTCCAGAGGATAAACGAATGAACATCAGGCAAACTGGAGAGCATAGGCAAAATCTCCAGTTTGTAACAATGAGAATCTGTCTATTGTTTGTTCATTATATTTGAAAAGTAATATCAAAAGGACTGATTATCACTAAAGTGTGAATCCTGGCCTCTCAGTGCCATGCATGAATATACACACACACACACACACACACACACACACAACACACACAGACACACACACACACACACACACACACACACACACACACACACACACACACACAAACACAAAACTCTCTTCCTCTGTCCCTCTTAGATAACCGAGTCATAAACTACAACTCACATTCCAATCCTGAGTAGTGACCAGCACAACATTCTTCACAGACACAGATCTGAGGAAGAATATATAATTGTAAAAATTCTCTTTTTCTGTGTAATTGCTGAATGAAGCAATCCCACTATATGTTGTTGTCAGGTTGAAAAACGAACATTCTGTTTATTATTGGTGGGATAGCTGAATGGAGCAATCCCACTATATGTTGCTGTCAGGTCGAAAAATGAACATTCTGTTTATGATTATTAGTGCCACGGGTGCTCAGCTCTGAGGCACTCCTCTCAGAGCTGTAGAGGAGTGCCTCGGGGCTATGACTTTTGGTGTTAAAATTCCAATTTTTCCCAAAGTTATTCCCAAAATACTGGGAATAAATAATGCATTAGGAATGCATTGGAATTTTCTTTAAAAACCCACAAAATTTCACCTTTTTTCTACAAAATTTCACCTTTTGTCTGAGTCACCCAGCTCTCTCATACCTGCACGTAGAAATGTGATTCAAACTATAAAACGGAGGAAAACTTCTGCTCTCTCCAAAACACAGCAACTGTTTTTACATAACATGTAAACTTTTCAAACTATGAGCACTCAAAGGAGGAGTGCAAATCACTTTTTCTTCAAAGTTAGAGTGACAGTGTCAGTTGGCTAGAGTGCGTCAAGCAGTAAAAAATAACCTTTATTTTTATTTTTAACTCGAGCTCACGGCCAAACCGTAAAAAGGAGACAAATAATTCTTTCTGAAAATGTAGACATAGTTGTTGGGATTCATAAAATGTAACTTTGACAGGCAGGGTCTGCACAACCAAATGTTTATAAGTTTTCAAGATTTTAACCCTTTAAATGCCAGTTTGAAGACATGTTGCCTCTTGTTTTATAAAAAAAAAACAACACAGAATATGAGATATTTCCCACATAATACATGGTGGAGGGATGTGACATTGTTTTATATCAGAGTCTTTTATATCAAGACATTTCTCAAAACCAGAATATGATCAGGGTGACTTTTGAACACTGGAAATAAATCATGTACTCATCCCAGCAGTAGCCCCCGTGGCACTCAAAATTTCCCTGGAATTTTCTAGTTATTATTATTCTTCCAACAGTTTTTTGGCCCGCTTCTAATCCTGCACGCTTTATCGTAGAAATTCGATTTTAAGCTCAAAACGTATGTCTTGAACGGGACATTCCGGGCATTACTTTTCACAGCGATATGTCTAATAATTTTGGAAATATTAATCGTTGTGTCAGATTTTTTACAATGGGAGTCAGTGGAGAGTTTGTTCCAATCCTTTAAACCTTTCTCCTCTTTGAAACTCAATTACTTCGCCATACTTTTAGCTAGAGACATTATTTAATCTTTAAAGACTTTCAGCTATTTAAATTTAACCTTTCGATATCTTGTACGGTTTTTCATTTATCGCAGTTTTATTTTTGTGCTATTTTCTGATCATTTTTGAGTTTATAATGGGTGTGTATTGCATGTAATGTTCAGGGCTAGAGTGGGTGACATCATCGCTAGAGTTGGAGAAGGGATTAAACTGCTAAAAAAAGATCCTCTTAAACTCGTCCTCCAGGCCACAAATTCAATGACATCAATGATTATTTCCCACCAACTAGACAAACTTGTCAGCTTTCAGACAATGTGACTAACAAAGCAAAGAGACTCACAGAATTTGAACTGTGCCCTTTCAAAGTGGCAGGTTACCATCTAACTGCCCCATTCACTCTAATGTAAATTGAGAGCAGAAAATCAGGAGGAAACAGGAAGGGAGGTATTTCTAAAATCGCTGCATAGGCCACATTTTTGGCACCACAGACAAACATTTTATATGACTGCGATCAGCAAAGTCTCCTCTCTCACAAAATCTAAACATTCATGTGATAACAGTTATGATATTTCACTGACAAGCCTCAGTTTGAGAGGTATATTTCAACTGCATCTCTGCCCCACTCAGTAAAACCTAAGCACTTAAAATCACCAGGGCAACCTCTGAGTGCAGGAATGGGGCTACACAGGTGGATCAAATGACCTGATTAGAGACTCCTCTCATATCTGTGATGTTTATCAACCACTTTACTGACATTTCTGTCAAAGTCCAGCTACAAACTGCTTCAACACTAAATACAGATAATGATTTACACACATGTCAACTGTTAATCCTGATAGTGAACAGATCCAGATTATAGTTAATTATAGTTAAAGCAGCTGTTGTGGGAGAAAAATGTTTGATTTAAGTCCCAATTTAGTTTCAGTTGTAAGAGTTGCAGCTTTAAATCCTGAAGTTTGCACCACTTAGATATGACAGGGTTGACATGGTAGGAAATAAGAGATGAAGTCAAGAGTCAAGAAGCAGCATGTGTGGGTTGATGCTACTAATACTCTTCTTCCTTCAGTGGAATGCAAGAAGCCTGACTTTAAACACTTTAAACAGTTTATAATCAACAGAAGAGAAACACACAAAATTATTCTGTATGTTTTCAAGAATCCTGGCTAAAGCCTCACTAGGACTTTGTATCATGAGGATGTTCGGCAAGGAGAGATGGTGGAGGTGGAAAGTAGGTCATGTTGGTTAGACAGGGGATTCTCTACAGAGTAGTTGGCATAAGGAGAGAACAGGGATATGAGGTAAACACGTGGGGAATTTTAATGAGAGTTGATGGATGGAAAAAGCTTAGGGTGTAAATGATGGAAATAAAACAAGGATAGATATTAATACTAGAAAGTAATCTGTACTTGAGCTCACACTGGTGTCCAGTAACATGGCACCAATGTGTGACTGGAACCACAGGAAGCGACCATTGTGTTTTATATAAAGGTAACTGGCTACAGCAGGCAGGGGAATGAAATGAGTACTTGAGAAATTTCAGATAGAAAGTGACAGACACCTGAGTCTGAGTCAGGGAATGATTAACAACATCGGCAGGGACTGGAGGGAGTGGAGTGATCCTGAGGTTGCAGTAACCAATAAAGGAAAGGCTGAGATGATGGTAAATACTTCTGTTACAATACAAAGTTCCAATCATTTATCTGAGGAGGGAAGAGATGCATACAAAACCAGATCGGAACGCCTGAGGGTGCTGAGGAGAAAGTGTAGCGCTGAGGATGAACAGAATATCTCATTTAACATGAGTGACTGAAGTCAGGCTCTGGATTAAAGAAGACCGCACCTAGGAAAGATGAAATATGTTATATTAGCTGACACATATAAGTATGAAGGGGCAGAATGTTAATGTTATTTAATAAAGTGTGAGAAGAGGAAGTCCCAAGGGCTGGAAAGAAGAAATAATTATTCTCATCAGGAAACCTGAGCAGGAAGCCAGTAAACCAACAAACTACAGTCCTATTGTCTTGACATCATTTCTGTAAATAAATGGAACAGATGGTCAATGAGAGACCGATGTGGTTCTTGGAGAAAAGATGTCAAATGGCTACGTAAAGTAAGTTAGTTAATTGTTATTATTATTATCATAGTCCAAAGTGGGTTTGGAGAGGAAGGTGCTCTATGGATGCAGAGCTGTGTCTGGAAGCTCAAGTAAATAAAGAGACAGTGAAGCTGGGATTTAAATTTTCATTGGAGGAGACACAAGTTCTGCTCTTCACCAGAGAGAAACTCAGGGAAGAAGATAACCTGAAGTTATAAGGACATGGGTCAGAGAGGGCAAAGTTTTTGTTTTGCATTCTGACTCCTTATCATAGTTTTTTGTTGTTTTCACACCATGTTAACTTGTGATCACTGACTTAGAAAGATATACACAGTTTAGTTCACATAATCTGATATGGTGAATGTGTTACATGCACATGGTGCTGATAAAAGTGTGTAATCAGTTTTAAAAAAACTGAAGAGAAGAACGGATGGACTGCCTTGCAGGTTTGCACAGACAGATATGGTGCCCAGTGGATATATGATAATTACTTTTGTGATCCTCAGACTTTTTGTGTAACAGGTAAGCGAGGCTCACATTTGTGGTACTGAATGAAAAATTTCCATCCATCAGAGTGTAAAATAGATTACCATGAAATTCAGTCCAGATGTTCATCTTCACCTCTAGATGAATAAAACCGCTGGTGATCCTCTGACTTTTCTTTTAGTACCACTTTTAATTTCTCTGGTTTATACCAGCAGAACTCAGTAACATCAGCCTCAGTTGTACTTTGTGTTTGGTGCTAATTAGCTAGGTCTTCTAAGGTGTTGAATATTGTTAACATAATACCTGCTAATTTCTACCAAATCTCATTAACAGTATCTGCTAATCATTGTGTCATTGTGAGCATGTTAGCTCAGACCACTGTTGTACATTGCAGCCTCACAGAGCAGCTAGCACAGCTGTAGACTCTTATGTTACGTTATTTTATCATTCAGGATGATTTCATTATCAGAAAGCCATGAACCTGCATTATTCTAATGAAACTCAAGCTCTGAGTGACTTGGAAAAACATCCTTTAACATACAGTTGGTCCAGTTTGATATGTTTTCACTGTTGCTCCACTCCAAAGCAGAGCACTAACACAAGGCTACAGGCCACACCAACAACACCCACAGCTACATCACTGAAGGACCTTTATACAAGCAGCCTAGCAGTGATTCAGAGATACATGGAGCCATTTTTTGCTGAGAGGACCTGGATGCAGCTCAACCGCTGAGCAAGACAGCCCAACACAAACAACATGGAGAATGCATTACTTCACTTTCTGTACCCCTCCATTCATGTTAAGAGCAGAGCGGAAGCTCCAACACTGTCTGAACAAACTCTGTTCGTATTCTTCTGTTACACATTTTATATATATAGTCAAGCTTGTGCTTCATCTGGAGTTGTGGCTTTTATTTGAAGATGACTATATCATTTATTTGTGTTATATCATCATTAATTGTGTCAGTCTGGGCAAAGGTTGACCATCACTCACCTTCTTTACAGTTGGGTCCTCCGTAGGCTGACTGTGAGCAGTCACAGGTATAGCTGCTGCTCTTCTCAATACACCTCCCTCTGTTGTGGCAGAGGCTGCTGAAGCTGCTGCAGTAACCCGGACACCCAGAGCTCACCCCTGGAGTCATCTTCGCCCTCTCCTCAAGGTCATAGATCACACCATTGACAGTCAGAGTCCTGATGCAGCCCAGGAAGCCTCTCTGCTGGGACGCTGTTGCCCCTGGGATGAAGACCACTATGAAGCAATATTCTCTGCATGACACAGCTTCTACTACCACTTATACATGTACATAAACACAGATCAGCCATAACATTATAACCACTGAAAGGTGAAGGGAATAAAATTGATTATCTCGTTACAATAGCACCTATCAGCGGGGGGTGGGGGGGTATATTGGGCAGCAAGTGAACATTGGAAGAAGGTGCCCTGGTCTGATGAATCGATTTTTCTTTTACAGCATGTGGACATCTGTGCCCATGCGCGTTGCTTACCTGGGGAAGATATGGCATAAGGATGCACTATGGGAAGAAGGCAAGCCAGCGCAGGTAGTGTAATGCTTAGGGTGATGTTCTGCTGGGAAATCTTGGGTCCTGCCATTCATGTGGATGTTACTTTGACATGTACCACCTACTTAAACATTGTTGCAGACCAAGTACACTCTTTCATGGAAATGGTATTCCCTAATGGCAGTGGCCTCTTTCAGTCGGATAATGGTCTTGTCACACTGTAACAATGGTTCAGGAATGGTTTGAGGAACACAACAACAGTAACAGTTCAAGTTGATGACTTGGCCTCCAAATTCCACAGATCTCAATCCAATTGAGCATCTGTGGGATGTGCTGGACAAACAAATGCCATCCATGGAGGCCCCACATCGCAACTTCCAGGACTTAAAGGATCTGCTGCTAATGTCTTGGTTCAAGATACCACAGCACACCTTCAGAGGTTTGGTGGAGTCCATGCCTAGATGGATCAGAGCTGTTTTGGCAGCAAAATATTAGGCAGGTGGTAATAATGTTATAGCTGATCGATGTAAAATGTTTAGAATCACACCTTTTATCAAATTAATTTATGTGACTCTTAATCTATCAAAACAGTTTGATACTTTTACCCCTATAACACAGTATATTTACATGCACGTAAGTGACTAGGTCCTCATAGAAATTGAATATGAATCTGATCTTATCTTAAACCTCTGCTCTAGTTCTCTGTCCTACCTACAAACAGCTGGTTGTTGAGGCGTAAGCGGCAGTGTCCATCAGCTGGAGCCTCCAGGAAGTGGAGAGGAAGCTGGTCAACCTGTAGCGACGCCTCCTTCATGTTACGCTCCACCCTCACGTAGTGCCACTGCCTGTCATTCAGAGGGAGGTGGGACTTCACAGCCAGGACCACCGGACCATTTCCAACATCAAAGGAGAAAGTCACCACTGAGGGAGCTGGGATGTCACACACATACGCACACACGTACGCACGCACACACACACACACACACACACACACACACACACACACACACACACACACACACACACACACACACACACACACACACAGTGTCTCCAAACAGAAAAAGTCAGAACTCCTTCTCAGATATTAAATGTATAAAATGTTCTATATCAGGTATTATGAAGGGGGTAGGTTTGGTTTTACTACTGTGCAAAATTTACAGTAAACTTGCAGTGCAGAAATTTTGTCTCCCACCTCTGGCAGAGTGATGACACAAGCACAGTGGGGAAAAGCCACACTTATGTTTGTCTTTACCATGGATCACTTTCTGTTTCAGACTGTAATCCTTCATCTACACACATAGAGTTTCTTTTGTATCCGCACCATCAGAAACTTTTCTTGGACGCTTCCTCGGTTTTTCCAGGTGTGTACCTGCTGCTATAGCTGCTCCATCACTATGGTCGTTCCCCTCTTCAGCTCTGGCAAACCAATCATTACTGGTTAATGTAAATGTAACGGTATTGTTTGGCCAGTGCAGGAAACCAGAGACACAGACACCAGATTTTTATTTTTGTGATTTTTTCGGGCTTTTTCTGCCTTTATTATAGTGACAGTCAGAGAGTGACAGGAAAGTTGAGAGAGAGAGGGGATGACATGCAGCAAAGGGCTGCAGGTCGGATTCGAACCCAGGCCGCTGTAATTAGGACTAAGCCTTAATGGTATGTGCTCTACCAGGTGAACCACTGAGGCGCCCCACAGACACCAGATTTAAAACTCTGGCATACTGAAGAATACACATACTAAAAGAAGTGTTGTGTGCACTCATTTAGCAACGCCTTGAATGTCATAGATGTTCATCTCTATGTAAAAGTATTAAGTATTATAGTGCACTGGTATATCTCACCTATGATAATATGAGGCACACACACACGTGCACATTTTCAAGTAGATCATGATTTATATCAGTAAACTGTGTGAATGTCGGCATGATTACAGGTTATATGATTTTTGCTTTTGTGCAAATGTTTTATAAATGAGACCTGGACTCCTGCTCTGTACAGGAATCAAACATTATAAGATAGAGAGTAAAATAAATGTTTGCAGTATTTGATGATACTTTCTTCTATATCAAATATTATAATATATATATTCTTTAAGGACTTTTCAGCTGTACATAAGCAGTAAGGAAATTACACTCTGCTGTTGGTGCCCTGTGACAGTGTAATGTGTCATTAGGATCACATCCATCATGGTGTGCATAGCCGACAGCTTTCATGGGTGCTGATAATTTTGAACATGTCCTTCTCTGTCCTGTCTCATATGAGTCTTATTCCAGTTGGTAGGGGTGTGTTGATCATTCACTCACAGCTGAGCTCCACTCGAATGAAGTCTTTATGGCCCAGGTTCTCCAGAAGGACTCCTGATCGAACACTAGTTTTGAAGTAGAAGGAGATGTCGCAGGTGAGCTCGCCTTGTAGGGTGGGGAAGAGGAGGGAGGAGGACTCCTGGTAGAAGGAGACTGCATTCCAAATGGACTCTGAAAGAAAATGAAAGGTCAGTGGGAGAGCCGGCTTCCTGCTAGGAGGCTACTTACTAATTGAAAGGCAAAATGTTCAGTGAGACATTAAGAGGTTGTAGTTAACAAAACACACACAAGTCTATCAATTTACTAAAACAACACAAAGTATTTTCATTATAAGTGTCCTTAGTCTTCATATGATACTAAAGTTACAGATGATATTTGAACATGGTTTCTGTCAATCAACATTGAGCCTGAGATTCAAAGTCTCTGCCTGCATCCACAAGCCCAAAGTGGGGCTGTAACATAGCAGTGGTCACCTACTGTCTCCATAACAACGAAGAGGTCCGATTTGGTAGATGGCCTCCGAGCCCGTTCTGTTGGTGTCTCCGATCACCACATGGCTCACTGGCAGGTGCTCTTTATAGGATAGGACGCCTGAGTCATTGGCCCTGTGATAGAAGAACAGAGAGCTGTCTCACTCCAGAGTCCAGATAAATGAACTCCTCTGTAGAGTAAATAGATGGAAACAGGGTATGAAATCATGTGAAATCCCAGAGAGAACTGAAGATGAACGTACAGTATGCAAAGTGATTCAGAGAATTTTACACCGAGATTGTGACAGAGTCATAATTTGTTTTAATTTAACCAGTTGCTTGAATGAAAATTTCTTGACCATCATAGAAGTCAAAAGAGTTTTCTGGCTTCAGGCTTTTCTTCCACACTGTGCTGCCTACTGCACATAATAGTTAATATTAATTAATGTCAGTGTCTCTCCTGCTTCACCTGCTTGGCCCATAGACTTCAAATTCAAATAAAATATCATAATACAAAGAGAAATAACTAACCTTTTTTCAGTTGGAGGCCCTGCCAACAGATTTTCAGAGGTCTCTTTTAGAGTAGCAGTCTCTGAGGAAAATGATGTTTGGGCTGCAGTCTAGGGCTTACAGTACTGTGTGGTCACTAGGACAAAGTGGCAGTGTCATATCCACTTTCAGATGTTTTGGTCACAGTCATCAACTCGGCCATATGCACAATAAGGGAAGTCACAGCAGTGAAGTAATACAGCAGTAACCTGGAAGCCAAGGCTGCTGCTGCTTAGCACAAGTTACATGTTGTATATTCTGGATTAAGGCTGTTGTGTGATGTGAAGCTGTAAATAATATTACCCACAATTAACCACAAGATAAAAAGAAATCATAGTGAGAATACAACATGAGCTCTCTACTTCATTGAGGTACAATACGCTAATGTAGATTTTTTTTCCTGAGGCTGATGCAGATTAAAGATTTAAAATTACTTCTGATGTCATTATCAAAGTTTTGGTGTTTTTGTAAATATTCATTCTGCTTTGAAAGTCTGAGTGCAGCGGTGACAGCTGTGTGTGTGTTATGTACCACGAGGCTTTGTCAGCATCGCAGTTGCAGAAGTAGTTCATGTCGATGCAGTTCTCCTCCAGGCTGCAGGAGCACTGCTGGACTCCAGGCAGGAAGCCTCCCCAGTAGCTCCGCCTATCTCCTCTCTGGTCCAACCACCAGGACAAAGGGTGTCCGTCTGTAACAAAACATCACACAATGAAAGAAGCAGCCAATGGGTTTCACAAAAGTAACAACTGAACACAGCAAAGACTCAAAGATGACTTGGTGTATGCACAGTTCATCCAGAAAGTCTTCAGACCCTTCAATGTTTTCACATTTTATGCAGCAGCCTTTTGCTAAAATCATAAAAAAAATATTATTCCCTCATCAGTCTACTCTCTATCCCGTAATGACAAAGTGGAAAGTGGCTGGTACTTTCCACAGTGATGAGATGGATGGATGGATGGATGGATGGATGGATGGATGGATGGATGGATGGATGGATGGATGGATGGATGGATGGATGGATGGATGGATGGATGGATGGATGAACAAAACGAAAAATTACAAAGAACCTGTCCCTGGTACAACCTAGAGACAGTTCGAGGACTCCACCAACCAGCCAAGTTACAGGAAATATGTCACAGTCTCTCCTTCCTGAGCTACAGCATCGAATAATGGCTAGAAGTGTTTTTGCAGAACATTATGATGTCACAGTGAAGTTAACCTTTGACTTTTTGGATATACAGTAAAATGTCATCAACCCTAACCACACAAGTCAAACATACTGTGTAGTAACATCAAAATTTGTCTGCACTCAATTATCTGGATATGTCACATTGCAAATTTATGCAGGTGGTTGAAGTAGAAGCTAAATAAAAATACCTCTGACAGCAGCTTTGCTGATTTTTATGATGGTTGATCACAAATTTATAAGTTGACCATATTTTGTGTTTTTTTTTGTATACTCTTTTCACTCACTAATCAGTTCCTGTCATTTCTACTTTGCTGTTTTTTCAAATCAGTTTCAAGCCACTGTTAATGAAACAAAACACCTGCAATTATTTCACATTAAAAGCCTGTCAGGAAAGAACACAATGGAGCCCCTGATGGGCTTTTGATATGAAAATCTGTGCAGGAAATGTTATGTTTCATTAATAGAAAATTCACATCAATTGAAAAACAGCAAAGTAGATTCAGCTGAAACTTATTAGTGGATGAATGTGTTTGTGTTAAAAAGAGAAACTCAGAGGAGCAGTGACTATGATGAATAATTGCTGATAAGACAACAGGTAAACATGGAGGAAGTGTTACATTTACATTAACAGCAAATGAAAACAGGAGCAGATCAGAAGATAATAAAATATATTTTAAAAAATCAACTCATTAAATAGGGACTTAGGGATCTGTCTTTGATCTGTTAATGAACGTGTTTGTTTGTGTTCACACGGCACCAAGGGAATGGTGGAATTCAGCACTTTATGAATGGTTCATGAGAGCAGCACAAGCACAATGTTTGGGACACCAACGACTCCTTGAGTAATTCAGGATGAATGTACACAGAGAAGAGTAAGCGCAAAAACATAACAACATGAGAGAGTGAATATGGTTCATGAGGTCAGAGTGGGGTTTTCTTAGTGGAACACAAACAGGATGAAGGAGGAGAAAACATTCAGAGGGAACGGGACCATCAGAGAAACACACAATTCCACCTTTGGTGTTGAAGAGGCGGGACTTCTTGCAGCTGTAAACCACTTCCTGTTGGCACTGCTCTGAGGCCATTATGATGGAGCGCATTTGTTCGGCCGAGGCACTGTATTTTAACTTCATGATATGAGGATGCTGCAGAGATGAGCCCTGGACTCTGACTGGAGCTGTGACGTTGTGGGTCATCACTGTCCACACCCGCTCCTCTAAACACACACACAAAAACCATGTGTTAGCCTGTTAGCATGAACAGTAAGGATGACTTTATAAAATATATAAATAAATAAAAGATGTGGAAAATGTCAAATAATCAAAAGTCTAAGGAGCACTGTCACTGTGGCATGTATCAGGAACAGGCAGGAAGAGGAGTACAGAGATCTGACGATGGCCTTCAGTGAATGGAGTGACAAGAACTGCCTCCTTCTGAACACCTCCAAGACCAAGGAGATGGTCATGGACTTTTGGAGGTCTAGGCCCACCCTTCAGCCAGTCAACATTCGAGGGAAGGACATTGAGGTGGTGCACACTTACAGTATAAATACCTAGGTGTGCACCTGGACAGTAAACTGGACTGGTCCTTGAACACAGATGCCATCTACCTGAAGGGGCAGAGCCAGCTCTTTTTCCTCAGGGGGCTCAGGTCCTTTGATGTCTGCAGTGAAATGCTGCACATGTTTTATCAGTCAGTGGTGGCCAGTGTATTTTTTTATGCTGCAGTCTGCTGGGGCAGCAGTATGTCCAACATGAACACAAAAAGACTGGACAAGCTGGTAAAAAAAAGGCTGGGTCTGTGCTTGGCAGGAGTCTGGATTCACTCAGGACTGTTGTGGAGGGACGCATGCAATGTAAGATGGAGGCCATCTTGGACAATACCAACCACCCTCTCCCCAATATTCTGGCAGGACAGAGAAGCAGCTACAGGTGCAGCAAACATCTCATCTCAGAACAGAGAGGTTCAGGAGATCCTTTGTTACCACTGCCATCAGGCTATACAACATTCATTCATTCATTGTCTACCGCTTATCCTCTAGTAGGGTCGCGGGGGGGCTGGAGCCTATCCCAGCATCCTTTCGGACGAGAGGCGGGGTACACCCTGGACAGGTCGCCAGTCCATCGCAGGGCACACAGAGACAAACAACCATTCACTCTCACAGTCACACCTATGGTCAATTTGGAGTAACCAATTAGCCTAGTCCCCATTTGCATGTCTTTGGACTGTGGGAGGAAGCCGGAGTACCCGGAGAGAACCCACACAGCCACACAGGCTGTAATGGATCTTTTTTATAATAACAATAACAATATCAATCAAATGTCAGATGTCACCTGCTCAGCACCAAACACAGTGACATACAGACAGACACAGTGACTTGACCAGAAAGAGAGTGAAAACTGGATATATGTTCATCAGGTCGACACAAACACACATCCAAATGATAGTGTTGTTCCATATCTGCTGGATGTCTGACTAAAAAACAGTTTGCTAATAAATGGACTTCATTAGAACCAGTGGCACGAGGCAGCATCCTGAGAGAGAGTTTCTGAAAATCACTGCATCATTCTAACTGTTTGTTTTTTCCCTCAAGCACATGAGCGCCCAGCCTGTATACCTCTCTCTCTCCCTTCTCCTTCTCTATCTCCTTCCTGTTACTCTCCGCAGGTCCTCCCACCTCCAAAGCTGTAGAGTCTGGAACTGCAACTGCAAACCACCTACTGCCCCCATGATCCTGTTAACACCTGCTGCTAAACTTGCTCAATTTTATTATAATTAATGATAAATATTATTACTGCTATTAGCTTTCATTATAACTTTTATCAGTAGGAGTGTTACAGTTGCCATTACATTACTATTGCTGTTACTGCTGCTACTATCACTATTATTAATATTTCTATCATTGCATGTTATTGTTCTTTTCCTCTGCGCTCTCTCTATCTCACCAACCCACCCGGTCGAGGCAGATGGACCCGCCCACCCTCAGTCCGGTTCTGCTAGAAGTTTCTGCCTCTTAAAATAAAATTTTTCCTTGCCACTGTCGCCTAGTGCTTGCTCTTGGTGTAGGGTCTTTGTAAATAATATTATAAAGAGAAGGTCTAGACCTGCTCTATTTGGAAAGTGCCTTGAGATAACTTATGTTGTGAATTGGCGCTGTACAAATAAAAATTGACTTGACTGGTCCTGATGACTGGGGACAGTCCTGGGCTGACTGAAAGCTTAGAGTAAGTTCAATCAGGAAGACTATCTCAATTCCACCTCCATTCACAATTCTCTCATTTTCTCCCTCTCTCACCCCACTCCTCGTAATCAGCTGACTTCAGGTGTTCGGCAACCAATCAGATCTCACCACGATCTCAACCAGCCAATGTTGTCTCTGTCATATTTTAAAATCTGTTCTCTTCTGTCCTTCTGTCAGCTGTCATTTCAGTGCATTTGCTGCGACCCGTAGTTGTGTATCTAAAACCTGGCTCACTTTTTTGTGCCACAGCTCCATCTTTTAAATCAGCTGCACCCACTCATTTAATTCTCACAGTCTCTGGAGAGTGGCTCCTGCAAGGCTGAGGCCACTGTACGTGTGGGAAAGTGATACAGTTTACACTGCCCTGCTAGCTTGTTGTGCTACATATCACAACCTCCCAATTTGGATTAAATTATGTGAGTAATTTACAATAGGTGGGTTTTCCATCCACCTGCATTTTCAATTTCTGTATAAAGAAACCTTAGTAAAAAATCCAGAAATTCAACAAAAGTATCACAAAAAAGTTGCAGGTTGTTGTTGTTGTTGTTGTTGTTGTTTCTGGTAGTGAAGCAGAATTTGAAAATGCTAAGAGGATGATCGCCTAACTCAGACACACAGTCTACATGTGGTGAGACCAGTGTATTGATAAAAGCAAAATGAGACTAAGTGCAGGGGGGACAGGATGACACACATGAAGCATGTGACCTAAATGTTCACTGAAGCTTCTGGTCCACTGAATAGACTGAAAACAGACAAAACAGATGAGTGTGGAGCAATGAAGAAAGGTTAGCTTCATTAAATCAATACAACAAATACCATCTTTTCATCATATTTTGACTATTGAATTTGGAGCTCTGCTGCATCTTCTTCAGCAATAGTTTTAGTGCCACCAGCTGTTTAACCAGCCCCTAACATCTGCACAACAGCAGTGGATTAAACGTGCATCCTATTATTAGGCTGTGGACTTGTACTGTGCTGGTATTTTTCATAATGAAGGAACATGTCAGTGCAACAGTCTCAGCCTCACTGATGTGGTTTTAATGACTGTGTTTGACAACTCTGGAGCTCTGTGGCTCAGACAACTCAGGCTTTGGATAAATAGACTGTACTTGTGCTATTTGCACAGATATTCTTCAGTGTGCAACAGTCTGTCAGGTTCATGGTTGAGTCCTTTTAACTGTTCACTAGCAATGAGTGTCAATCAAATTATTACTGACAGATGCACTCAGTCAGAGATGCCCCCAGAAAACCACACACAGCCCCTTCCTAACATGTCAGCCCATAAGTCTGTCAGCCAAAACAAACCTGTATGTTTGCTCACAGAGACATAAACTGATTGAAGAAGAAAACAGATGTTAACATATTAATGTGAATCACACAGGCAGTTCTAAAACAATATACAACCAATATGAACAACTACAAACCAACTGTTTAATGAACAGACGTGTCTATGGTGCACTGCTCTTTACACCAGCAGACCTTCAGTTCCACTCAATTCACAGCTTCACAAATTCAGTTTCTACACAGCTGAGTTTTTCTCTCAGAGCTCCACCCACCCCACAGAGTTTTAACTTTTATTAATGAGTGAAATGTAAAGTTTAATGGACAATGAATTGAACAAGTTTCAAAAGAAAAATATCTTTGAGAAACATGATAAAATAGTGAGAAAGGTTGTAGAAACAAACTTAATGACTTAATCTCTTCACATTTCAGTCATTGATTAACGTGTTGGTCACAGTGTAAAGACAATACAGTATAATGGTGTAAAATGTAAGAGCTGTAAGATCTCAGCACTGCCATGTTCTTATAACATCACCAGGTTCTTGAGGTGCTCAGTCCTGGATGTTCCTCTGAGGACTCCTGGCTCAGTAACTGGGGGTCTGATGAACTGTACTTGTACCCTCTCCTCAGACATCTGTTTGGATCCTCCCCCTCAAAACTTTATTCAAACTACAGTTAAAACAGCTTTTACAGAGGGATCACTCCTGAAGTAGTCCTAAATGATCTAATGCTTGTTTAATGGTCATTTCATTTCATCATTATTTGTTTTTGTGTGTATCTATAATAAAAAACCATCTTGTGACTGGCTTTGAGAACTATACATGCTAATATATTAGTCCATGATGTAAAATGTTTGTCCCTTAAAAAAATGAACAAAACTGTACCATGCTGTGATGAAATAAACATGGATGGATCAATCTTATACATGATAGTATTTTGCCTTTATGTTTGAGATTCTTTGGATTTTTGTCACTTCCTGTTTTATTTTGTAGTTTGTTTCCTTGTGTGTCTCAATGTTTTTACTTCCTGTCTTTGTCCTGTTTCGCTACTTGCTGATTTTCTGCCCCGCCCTAATCTGTTTCACCTGTGTTCAATCACCCTTGCTTCCCTTGTGTCTATTTAGTCTCTGTGTTCCACTTTGTCTGGGTTGGTTCGTCTGCTGATGTTATCCCCTGTGGTTCTTTGTGTTTTGGCCTGCTGTAATTGTCCTCGGAGTCTGCTGTGTGTCCATTTGTAGTTCCTTGTGTATACTTGTGCTTTGGTTTCCTGTTCTGTTGGTTCACCAGTGTTTTGTAAGTTCTTTGGTTTATTAAACATTTTTCACTTCTCCCTTTGTGTTGGTTGCATTTGGGTCCAGCCATAACCTCAATCGTGACAGCCTCATGTTAATCATAGTACAACATACACTGCTGTTTTGTATTGGGCATAACTAGAATCTCTCTGTATCTTTGCTGTATCATTCCATTGTGTTTGCCTCTATGACCTGCAAAGATTAAAGTAAGAAGAATCTCTGTATCTAAATAAAAATGACAATGAAAAACAAAGTAATTTGTTTTGTACACTGAGGAAAAAGATCATCCTGCTGTCAGGCTGTTGAGAGAAGCAGTATATTCTGCAGTATATACGACCTGTCAGGCGTCGTCAGCAGGAAGCAAACTGAGTTAAGATTTCTACGCTGACGGTCAAGTGTCAGCACTGTAGATCGATGGCTGTGTGATCTCTGAGAGACTCAACTCTGAGCTCTGGTCCCGCTGAAGGTGATGACATGATGGACTGCGGTGTACTAACCTGTCATATTGCAGTAGACCTCGGTGGGCCCCAGGGGGCCACTCCCATCTGGATCAATGGTGTAAAGGCCAGAGGAGCTGCCGATCAGCTTGTAAGCCGTGCAGGACGTCTCATAGATGGCTGCAAGGAGGAGACAGTTTTTATTCAGGTGTCAGAAACAACAATAGCTTCCTGTTCTTGCACTGCAAAAAAACAACAAACAAACAAAAACAAATCTCCATCTAATCTAGTCCTTTCAGCATGTAATGAAAATGTATATATTTGTCAGAGTCCTTCTGTGCAATCTTAGATATTCATGATTGAATTAGCAGGAATCAAAGGGTTTCAAGTATTTTATATCTATTTATAGTAAAATCAGCTGATCTGCTTCATTAGGACTGTGAGGGTTTGGTTAGACAGTGAAGGCAGTGTGAGCCAACATCTCACAAAAATCCTAACTGATGCACGGAAATACACAACTTCATCTTTATCTGACTGAGCACTGTCCATTTCAATCCACTGAGAGGAGCAAAGACAAAATAACCAGCACAGCTCAAAGTCTGGCAGCATGTTCATGAAGGACCTTGAGCTCAGAGTCAGAAATAATGTTTTCAGGGTGAAAATAAAGAAGATTTCAACCTGTTTCCAATTACAGTGGACTTGTTTCTCTTCTGCATCTTGAAGCAAGAAAATTCAATATCACAACTTGCACTCTTGTCATTTGCTGTGGTCAAATAACACGTGTAAAGCTGCTGCTAATATTTTGCCATTTCTGTCTAACAAATGCAGAGTAATGTGAAAACAGTGGCAGGAACCAGATGTCCCTCATTGCAAAACCTGTGTCTCAGACAGATAATCTAATTTAGATTTGCTTTGTGTAGAATTTCAGTAAATGTAATACAAAAACATGTGGTTTCTAGTTTTAATCTTTTGGCTGCATGGATATTTTCAGCCTGTCACATTCCAGTTGTAACAATAGTGCTTCAGTACAACACAAACCCATGGTGTGAAACTACTAATTAGGCTTGACACTCTCCTTTGAGGAAACCAACAGCTTGTACATATACAGTGATTATTCTGCAGGAAAAAAAATATATATTCTGTGTGAAAAAGGACCAACTCTGAGGTAATGTAAAGTTTTCTCAATGTCCATTGTTAATCAACAGGACTACGACTGCACAGTCACTGCACAGCCATGCTCATGGACCTGTGAGGCTGGTACAGTGGTGCTTTGAGCTAAATGCTGATGCCTGTGTGTTAACATGTTTAACATGTAAATCATGGACAAACTGAAACTTTGACCTGAAACTTCAAGTAAAAAGTTCCTGAGATTCTCTGGGGAAAATTAATATCTACCAGATTTCATGACAATCCATTCGACAGTTTGCAAAACATTTCACTCAAAATCAAAAAGGTCAACGTCATGGTGGCGCAAGAGGAGTAGTCATTGGATCTCAGCGACATACTGTGAATGTCCAGTGTTTGACTCTTGGGGACAGAGTGGCTGCACGGCTGCAGCTTTTATCCAAAGCACTTTACAATCTGTACTTTACAAAGTCAAGTGTCTTTCCTCAGGACACAGGGAGAAGCTGGGGATTGAACTGCCAACTCTTTGATTAGTGGAGGATCCAATCTAAACCACAGCTGCCCCATTAGCTGAAGCTGCAGAGTGTTAGCCTGCGTAGTTTTTCTGAGACACTTTCCTGCAGATGTTTCAGAGCCCCTCCTCCCAAAAAAGTGAGAAAATTTTCCCTGCAGATGTGTTCTTGTCATGGGCTAAATCACACATCTGACTCATATCATCTAGGGCTAGTTTAAATAAATAAATTAATATATATATATATATATATACATATATATAAATATTGTTAAAGTGTGTCTTGTCCAGTGTTTCCTCACAACTTAGAGCAAATGGCTTGTCATAAATATAATGAGATTCAAGCTTTCTAATATTTTTTTACACGTAAAGCTAGAGAGTATAGTCACTGAAAACGTTTGACAAGATACATAAAGCCTGCACATAAAAAATTTTATTTTATGTATTTTAAATTGTCCTCCAAGTGTCTGTCTGTAGAAGCTTCCTGCAGCAAAAACCCATCTCTTAAAACTACAGTCAATCACAACTGAATGTACAGTCAGTCAGTCAGTGGTGTCACTGTTTTAATGTGACCTGGAAAATTCATGTCACAATGAAAAACAATGAATTCAGTTATTAAAAGCAAAAGGTCATCATATGTTATGTTGTTATGTTTTCATTTCATTTGACACAGTAAAGGCACACACATAAGTTTATCTATACAGCACATTTCATACAAAAAAAGAATGAGATAGGAAGGTATTGTGATCATTAATTAAATGGGATAGTAATATCGTATCGTATCTTCGTCTCCCGCTTATCCGGATCCGGGTCGCGGGGGCAGCAGCCTCAACAGAGAGGTCCAGACGGCTCTCTCCCCAGCCACTTCCATCAGTTCCTCCGGGAGAATCCCGAGGCGTTCCAAAGCCAGCCGAGAGATATAATCCCTCCAGCGTGTCCTTGGTCGACCTCGAGGTCTCCTCCCGGTGGGACATGCCCGAAACACCTCCCTGGGGAGGCGTCCAGGAGGCATCCTCACTAGATGCCCGAACCACCTCAACTGGCTCCTCTCGACATGGAGGAGCAGCGGCTCTGACCGAGCTCCTCACCCTATCTCTAAGGCTGAGCCCGGCCACCCTGCGGAGGAAACTCATTTCGGCCGCTTGTACTCGCGATCTCGTTCTTTTCTCTCGTTCTCTTCAAAAAGCAGAGACGAGATCCCCCCGCCACCGAAACCAAACCCGTCCACCACCCGGCTGCGCCTAGAAATTCTGTCCATAAAAGTTATGAACAGAACCGGTGACAAAGGGCAGCCCTGGCGGAGTCCAACCCTCACCGGGAACAGGTCCGACTTACTGCCGGCTACGCGAACCAGACTCACACTCCTTTGGCACAGGGATTTAATGGCCACTAACAAAGGGCCATCCACCCCATACTCCCGGAGTGCCCCCCACAGGGAGCCCCTAGGAACACGGTCGTAAGCCTTCTCCAAATCCACAAAACACATGTGGACTGGATTGGCAAACTCCCATGCTCCCTCCAGCACCCTAGCGAGGGTAAAGAGCTGGTCCACAGTTCCACGCCCGGGATAGTAATAAACATTTCTAATTTAAACTTAACTGAAAAAGATGTCTTTAGTTTTCTTTTCATAGCACCATAATGACTGATGGTACCATGAATTGGTTTAAAATGTATTTTCCATTTCTTTCTTATATTTACTCAGCTGGTTATATATAATGATATATTATAAATATTATAATCAACCTACAGATTGGTTTGAAGCCACCTGTGCTCAGTGTTTCCATATTCCTACAACATGCTTTTGTTTTACTAGAAATTAACTACAGTTTTAAAGGTATAAAATCCATAATTTTTGTCACAAGTGAATTAAAAGGATGGCAAATTCAAATTCAAATCAGGATGAGAGCAGGTACACCTGACAGAGTCAGTGTATCTTGTGTTAACTGCAAATGGATCATGTTTTATTTTAAACCAGCTGCATGTTTGGTCCAAGCAACAACTACAACAGTGATCTGAAATGGCCCTGTTATGAGTGAGATGTCATTTGTTTCTGTTTTTGCTGGAACGATAAGAACTAGTGACTCACAGTTATGACACGTAGCTCCAGAGTAATCAGTCCCAGAGCAGTCGCAGGAGAAGGAGCTCCAGGACTGCCCACACTGCCCTCCATGTTCACACAGGTTAGGAAGACACCTGCAACAGACAGTGTTTCTTTTTTTAATGAACTTGTTTGTTCATCCTCATTCCAAGGAAGCTTGTGCTGATATTAAATAATATCAAATATCACAATATTTCCCACCATATGCAATATTTTTCAGCATATAATTTTTTTTTTTGAACATTTTTTTTCTTTTCTTTTTTTGCAGACCCTTATTTCACTTTTCTTTCACTCATTTCACTGCTTTGATGACTGTACAGTATTATGTGACAAATAAATCTTTGAGCTCCTGTGTAGTGGCAGCATCATTTATACCTGAAACATCAAATACAATAATATAATTAACATATTATAAAAAAACACCCGAAACATCAAATACAATAATATAATTATTATATTCTTATAATATAATAGAGATAATATAATAGATATTTGGGCTGGACTGTATTAATATATTACATTTTGGATATTACCCAAACCTACTTAATAGTAGTTTTAGGAGAAAACAAATAGAACAAGCTAACCACATGGTGTCTCCACTCTGAAGAGGTGCACTTCACCTATCATCTACATGTGTGACCAATTAACGCAGGAATATGAATAACACCTGAATCATCTGCTAATCAAAAAAAAAATACAAACAACAAAAATAATATGAGGAGGTGATGACAAATATTTCAAACATACTTCTTGGGAAACATTTTCCTCATGATGTCCAGGTTCTCACATACACCTGTGTTGGGCAGCTCAGGTTAGAAAGGCAATTAGACCCTCTTTGTCTGAGGCCTGGTAGGTGTGTGGTAGGACTGCTGTGTGTGCAGGTAAGGGAGAGTTAGGGAGTAAAGATGGGTGGTATTGTTGAGTTGGAAGTCTAATAAGATTTCCTGTATATCTAGTTGTGGTGTGACTGTGTCCTGATTCAGATTGCTGTATGCTCTGTAGCCCCATGCTGAAGAGGTAGGCCATAAACAACTTTAAATTTTAGATGTATCATCTGTATAGGAATATAATATAATATCTGTATTCAGCTGTTTAGGAAAACATTGAGCTTCCGCCACTTCTTTGTTGGAGCCTCAGTACAGAGCCAACCATCTCTACCAGCATCGTTTGTAAGCTTTAGAGTTTGTAAGATTTTGGTGCCAGACTGCTGCTTTGCCTGGACCAGTTCATCATGGCTGCCTGTTTCATGTCTCCTGACCTTTTAGTTGGACCTAATTATTGTCGATTATATACTGTCTGTTGTTTCATATTGTTGCTCAGAGGCCTTTTTAATGTTGTTGTTTAGGAGGCAGATGGTTAGACTCCTTGTGAGTATGTTGAATGTCTTTAAAACTTTTGTGAACCTGAACCAACTGAATAGAAACTTTACTGTGTGATTTTGTTCTTGTTTTTCTCAGTCAGTGTGGAGATCTGCTGGGGGTTTGCTTTCTTTGCAGTGTAAATTGCAGTGTAAATTGTGGTGTTGATAATGATCAGTGTGCACACGTGGTGGTTTCTATTGGGGTCTGTGATAGACTCTCCCCATGGTAAGTACCCTGCCTACTTCAATCATACATACTCTTGTGTGTGTCATAGTCAAGTCATTTGGTGTCTCAGCAGATCAGCTGTTTGAGCTATTTGTTGTTGTGAAATAAAACATTTTGACTAAGACTTGATTGTTTCCTCTTTTGTCCTGAGGTCCTTCCCTGCAGCAGGTATTACACCTTAAAATAAAAATTTGATTGTAAACTGGATGCATGTCTCCCGCTCTTCTTGAATCCTGAAAATTTGTCCCTGTCCTGACAAGAGGATGTATGATGGTCAAACTACACAACTAATTAAATATGACTCAACTAAAAAAAGAAGCTGTGTTGAACTAAAATATACATTAAATGAAGGAGTCTTTGATGAAAGTCATTCATTTCCCACAACTGATGTAGCTTGTTACCAATAATTAATTCATGTTACAGTGTTAATTCATCCTCTGCACAGTGATGGTATTGCACTGCAGTGTGTTGATGTACAGTACATACAGCTGCTGTTAAAACTGGCAGATAAACATGGAGCATTCAGCAGTTCTTCTGTATAATCCATTTACTTATTCTTTTGTTTTCTCCAGTTTTAGTTACAGTTAAATTCACATACACATCATCTAACTAGAAATGGACAAATCTCTGTTTGTCCATCTCAACTGATCTCATGGACTTCAAACTTTGCACCTGTTTTGCTGAGGAAGGCAGTGCAATGTAAAAACACTCCCATATTTCATCCAATCACAGGACAAATATTTGAACTTATGTTATGATTTCACCTGCAAAGACCTGATTCTTAGTTTGAGGTGATTCTACATTGATGAAAACATAATGATGAATAGGCCTATCATGTATCATGTATCACTGATCCTTTAATTGTTCAGGTGTTTGTGATGTTTGGTTAATGCTGCTCTGCTCCCTGATAGAAAGGACCAGAGGTCCGTACTACGAAGCAAGATCTGAGGTCATCAAGGTAACTTCAGGTTTAACTCTGGGTTTTCAGTCCTTACCTGGGTAAATCACCATGGTAACTGATGCTAAACTCGTAGTCATCATTCCTACAGTATCCTGACAGGGACAAAAGAGTACAATAAAGTGATCAATAACGAAGATCAGAAGATATTTGTATAGATCAGTGGATGTTTCGGTGTTTGAGTCTTTCCATGTGTTACTGGTTTCAAAACAGAGCCTCTAACAAACAGAGGAGGATTTATCACATTAAACAACTACAATATAACTATTAGAACTTCATTTCAACAGAACACAGATTCTTTAATCTGATAGGATTCTTGACAGTCATGAAGCTTTTCATCACTGCAGCTCAGAACATGAGGAGAAATAAAAACTAAACCAACAATGATCCACACACTGATCAATATTTCCATCATTATAAATGAACATTTCAGTCAGACTGACTCTTCAAACATCCCTTACTACTCTCCTCTTCTTTCTCTCCTCTTTTCTTTCTCTCCTCTCTGCAGCAGAAACAGTCTGACATTAACTTTAACTTTTATCTGCTTCACATGTTCATAACAGTTTGTTCATCATCAGACTGAAGAGCAAAATATTCAGTGAGAAAGTTAATGATAATTAATGTTCTTATTTTCAATATATCATTATTCTGGCTTTAATGATTAGTATTATTTCTAGTGTTTCTTTTTTTAATTCAGGCATGTGATCATGCTGTCACATTTCACTTCGTTGAATTTCACTTTATGACACAATAACTGAATTTACCTGCAGGTATCAGTGTCTCTGCTCATATCCTATTACTACTTCATTCCCATGCTTGGTTCTGACGATGTTGCTTATAATCAACAACTCTGCCTCTTTCTCATGAAGGCACTCGTACCAGGACATGTAAACCCAGAGTTAACTGACCCAGTAGATAACTAGCTTCACAGTACAGGTGATCAGGATGGACAAAAAAAAAGATATCCTGGGTATGTTGAACTTTAAGATCCTGGACTCGTTCAAAACTAGTTGGCTTTTTGTCTTTCTTTTTTTTTTTTTTTAACATGTCAGTTAATTTCATTCATTATTAACTACAATTAATTATAGTTTTAAAACTTTTTATGCTTCAGTCCTGACATGTGTCCTAAATACACTGGACATGGTGAGGACCTGGCTTTGAAGTTTAAGAGTGATCTTTTTAACTGTAAACTGATGAACATACAAGTTGTGAAATCTTGCTTTGTAAGATGTAATGTAATATGTAACTGTCAGTTCCACTTATGATTTCTCTGACTTCGAGCTTTTTGGTAGCTAAAGTTAAATCTTTTAATTTCAGATGAATTGTGATCTCTTGTACGTCCATCAGGCCGAGTGGTTTGTGATGTTTTTTTTTTTACATCTGACATCAGTCTCAGCAGTCAGTCCAGGGTCCTAATCATGTACATGGTCATATTCTGGACCTTCTTTTACCTTTTCATATTCTGGTCCCCAGTGTCCAGATAAACAATGTCAGGTTATCTGATCATTGGTCCATCATGTTTTTCACCTCACTTCCCTCACTGAATCATGAACCCAGTTTTCCACCAGGTCTGTTTCCGCCTCTGCAGTGCAGTTCTTACATGCCCTCATGCCCATCTGGAGACAGATGTTGGTGAGTAAAGGAATGAAGTAGTAAGTAAACAGCTGCTAATGCTAATGCTAACAATAGCAAAACTTATACGTAGCCCCTTTAATGATCAAGGACTCTCTGCACAGAGAGCATATATGAGTTTGATACTCACTCTATCACACTGAGCGTAAGAACAGAACACCCAGTCAATGTTTGTTCAGTGACAATTTCAATAAAGGTTGTTCAATGATCCCATCCTCAACAATGTTGACAGGAAAAGATAAGAGGCAGCTTTACTATGTGCATTTCTTTCAGCCAGAAATGACTGGGAAGATTCAGACAATGAACCCGACTGTGATCATTTTAATCTCAGAGATTAAATCAGAGTGACTAGTGCAAAGACTGAGGCCTTCTCCAAACACACTTCCTGTTTCTGGTTCATGTATGTGCAGCAGCACAGAGACCAAAAAGGAAGGTAAAGTGCAATATAGGTGGGGGCTGTGGTGATCAGTTGGTGAACAGTTGCTCTGAGACAGCTGAGCCAATCAGAGTGAGGCAAGCTTCTTCAGGAAATCATGCTGTTGACTGGACGATGCAGAGCAACATGATGTGACCCTGACTACAAACATCTTAAGCCCCCTCAGTCTACTGACTGTGGTGGGGTTTGTTTTTAATTGTAGATTTTTACCCTCTGAAAACCTTTGATCTTTGAAGTGCTATTGTGCAAGATGAAGCATCCATGAAGTCCAGATTCTCTGCATTAATGCACAAATGTCCTTCTTTTATCTCTGAATGTTCTCATCTATTGTCTAGTTTAAACTAACTCACTCACTAACTCACTGCATGATTTTCTCTCCTCAGAGCAAACAGGTGATGTCTGCATCTGACTGACTCATTCAGTCTCACTCAGTTTGTTGTGGTACATTTGCATGTCCATGGTCATACCCTTGAACATTAGGCC